GCAGGAGGAAGAAGAAGGGAGGAAATGAAGTAAATGGTAAGGATGTCTGAAAAGTCTGATAAAGGATCATGCTACTATACCTATAGTACACATAACTTGATGTAAAAAATATATACATATAGTGGCACATATACCTTAGTAGTAATCGACAGCTTTCAAATTTACTTAAGATCGGTTCATCAAAAAGAAAATCATGCCTGGTTCTGTTAAACTATACAACTACCCAGGGCTAGTGAACTCATGGAACTTCTCTTTGCAGCAGATGGAGACCTTTACAGAAAACCACAACCAGTCAAAATGCAGAGTTCTCGAGTCTAGTCCTAACTCATACATCTACAATATGCCTACTGTATCAAGGGTTCAGTGGGGGCAGAAAAATTGTAAAAGCCAGAGGACCAGTGAATCTTCTATGAGATTGTGTCTTTTAGAAATGCTAGAAGCTACACCCATAAAGTCTCACCAGCATGGCTGTTTAAACATGACTTGAGCAAGGATGACTCCAATAGGCATGCTTACATGGATGGGGAAAGCTCATGAGATAAGGAACTACAGGTAAATAAGGAAAGCTGAGAGTGAGAGAAATACTCTTCCCCAGGGAGAATATACCAATTAGGTACACAACATCAAATTGTCATCCCTGAAAAACCTGCAAGTAACATTATTCAGATGAGCCGGTTGTTCTTATGTATTTTGGAACACACACACACACACACACACACACACACGAATTTGAAAAAAGTCTGTGAATTTGAAAAAGGGCAACGGCTGGAGGGGTGACATGGGAGGATTTGAAAGGAGAAAAGGGAAAGGATAAAGGATATAATTATAATTGCAAAAGACAAGTTTAAAAGTTAGAAATAAAACAGAACCTTCCCTACTATTTTCAAATTTATGACTTAAAAATTTTACTTGTCAAATGATGTGGGTTGTCATATAATACTTTACCAAATTTTCCCAATAATTGGCAAATTAAGTTATTGAATTTTAGGAAGGGCTGGTCTTTGCTTGACACCAAAGCTACTTATTAAATGATGCCTCTACTGAGCCAGGCTTCCACAGAGAATCATGGAACCATAGCTTCTCAATCATGGAATCACAGCTTCTCAATTCACGTCACTTGTTGACTGGCATTCATTTCAGCAAAAAGATTTTGTCTTTATATAACTGAAAGAGAACTTTCCTAATCCTATTTTATCATATCATCATATATTGAACTAATACACACAGAGAGGGAGAGAGAGAGAGACAGACAGAGACACAGAGAGAGACAGAGACAGAGAGATAGATATAGAGAGAGACAGAGCCACCCTGTGAGGGAGGATAGGCAACAGGAGACCAGCAGTCTCTTCATCTCTGACCACATTCCCCAGCATCCCTGAGTAGTCTTGGACCCGAACAGAAGTCTGTCCTTTTATAAAGTAGTGAGATGTCGCACATTAAATAATTTAGTTTAGCACAGAATGTGTGATAGGGAGCATGGAGGAGCCTGTTACCATAAACTGTGAGTTGTTAACTAACAGGGAAGACTGCTTCTCTATACAATATAAAGCTGCAGGTCTGATTCAGGCTATGCAAACAGACTAAAGGTGTAGGTTTGAGTTCTAAAACTGGAAGGTGGCCAAATGGACAGGCCCCATCTCAGAAATATCCATGGTCCTGATGGAAAGAATGCAAGGTGCAAATCATGGTGTGTGTGTGTGTGTGTGTGTGTGTGCGTGTGTGTGTGTGTGTGTGCGCGTGTGTGCGTGTGTGTGTGTGTGTATGTGTGTGTGTGTGTGTTTCTTGAGTTTGAAAACACTATACTGACAAAGCAACAACAAAACAAAACAAAGCATGCCAGGAATCCATGAGTCCATTACTTCAGCTTGAAGGACTGGGCAGTGTACTTTTAAGAAGAGTGTCTCTGATACTCCAGTATGTTTAAGAGAAACTGGCAAAGTCCTCAGAAGTTTGAAATTTTTAGGTAATTAGATTGTGAAGTGTTACCTAGATATGAATGATTTGGGTCGCTGTTCTCAAAGTGCCAGTTAACTGATGAAAAGAGTTGCCTTTTTCTGCAAGCTACACAGAATTTTATGCTGGCATCCTACATTACATTTCTGTTGTCTCTTCTTATCGTAACATCATCTTTGCTTTGTTAATAAAAAGGAATCAGAATTTCTTTATTATTTATGTTACTGGACAATGTCATAATCTCTTTCATTTTAAAACACTCTTTGAAGGACAGCATGGACATAAGCTGAAGTTTATAAATATATGTGTACACACACACACATATATATGTTTTATATACACACAAACACACACACACACACACACAAATTGCTGGATGTGATTCCACTCCAGAGCACTTGCTTAACATATATAAGGATTTAGTTTTTATACCTAGAATTGAGAAAAAAACATTAAAGAGCAACCTAATGATTTTGGCCAGATTGTACTAAATCTACACTATTATTTAAAGGGAGGGAGCTGAGTGGTTGGAAACTTTGAAATGAGTGTAGATGTCTAATATGACGATATTTCTTTTACCAGTAACATTGCCTTATCACACAGTTCTAAATTGACATCAGAGGTAACATTGTGCCTCATCATGTCTCAGGGATAATCTTGACGTGAGAGAACTCAATAGAGATTTTTGTCCTTAAACATAGTATCAGGAATTGAACATATGTGACAGGGAGCCTGGAAGGAGTCAGATACCATAAACTTATGAGCTGCTAAGTCATAGCACAAACTGCGTCTTACCTCTGTTCCAGAGAAAGCTTCAGGGATGTGTGACTTGATTCCATAGCCCAAATCAGGCATAAAGGTGTAGGTCTATGTTTTAACCATAAGTAACCAAAGGTGAGTAAATACAGCAGTTTGGTTAAGTGGATGATGTGGCCTAAAGTGATCAGTTCCTGTTCTGGTAGGAGCAGCCTGGATTAACTATGATGATGCACTGTACCTCTACAATAGACTCATGGAGCCTCAGATGAAGACGTTCTCCTCATGCTCCTCATGTGTCAGTGGCCTGTGATGGAGTCAGTTTTGTGATATTAAATGACATAACTGGGCAGGAGATGCAGATGAATTCCATGATTTTAAAGTATGAGTTGTGGGGCAGTACTATCAGGAACGAGGTTTTCATTGGCATGTTGGGGAGTCTGGAGTTTCTGGTGTCTGTCAAGGAATGGGGTTCCTGATTGAGAAGAAACACAACACGAGTAAGCTGAACTAAAAGTTGAAAATGAAATTTTCTTGGGGATGCCTTTGAATGACTAGATCCAGAGCTGGGAAAAGAGAGGTTCTTGACCAAGCTTTTCATTGTATGGCTAGATCCACCCATGTCTGAGACAATGTTGTATGGTTCTTTTTCCTTTGACTACAACTGGATACCTTTCCAGGACTTGACCCTTAGCCATATCAACTAGAGCAGAACTAATCAATGGCAGCCAGATCTATGGTAATGGAAGTACTGACCCTTACCAAGGAAGGTCAGGAGAGCCTTTCCCAGAATTCTATTACTCTCTCTTCTAGCTACAAGGATCTTAGAAGATGCTAGCATATACTAAAAATAAAGTAAAACATTAAACAAATGAGACTTCATGATGTAGTTTTTATGAGATTTGGGGTGACTCGATTTTGTGTAGTCACACTGACCCAGGCTTAGTAAGAAAGCTCAATAAACCCACTGGTCTCACCAAGTTGGACTTTGGTGAAATCAGACTTTGGTCTGTCTTTGGAGCACACCTGAGATGACTAGAAGTTTTTTAAATTTCTGGTGCTGGCAATAGACAGCACCCTGCTAATGATGTTGGCTGATATTAGGGTTCAGTGGGTATCCATTGTGAATTCCAGGTTCTTTAAGTCCTGGAACAAAGAATTGTAGATGGTGACAAACAAAATGAACGGATTTATTATTACAGATGTACTTTCAGTTGAATAACCCAAGGGCACCACTGTACCAAGCTGGGGCATAAATTGCCTTAATGTAGGGGTTTTGACTTATTTGTATAACATGACTGTTGTGGGATAATCTTTATGTACTCTGTGAAGCTGTGTCTCTGTCTTGCCTTATGTGCATGGGGCACTTTCTGATTGGTTTAATTAATAGCTGAATGGCCAATGGCTAGGCAGGGGAGAATAGGCAGGACTTCCAGGGAGAGAGGAACTGGGGAAGAATCTGAGTGTGGATTTTTCCAGGGAGACATGGAGCAAGTTGGATGCATGGTACTGAGGAAAGGTAAAGAGTCAAGTGATAAAATGCAAGTTGATAGAAACTGGTTAATATAAGAGAAAGTGGGATAAGCCTAAGCTAAGGCCAAGCTCTCATAATCGGTAAGTCTCTGTGTCATTATGTAGGGCCTGGTAGTCCAAAGAAAGTCTGACAATAAAGTCCAAATATACATGAGCTTTTTGGTCCATGCTCTGTTTTGTCACATGTAGTTCTACTCAGAAGCTCATATATTAAGTGTCTTCTTATTTTAACTCTCCATCTAGGGATGCTCATTTTAGTATTATAATGAACTGTAGTTTACTCAGGAACACCCTGGAGTGCCACTGAAAGGGAGTCAATAGAGTGAGTTGGGTTTGGGGTGAGAAATCCGTTTTTTCTTTGTCAACTTCCTTTTTCAGATGCGAATTTTATGAGACTTTTCACAGACTTGGGTCTCACTCATACTATTATCTTAGAATAGAAAACTGCATTTCCACTGGAGTCTAGCTCAGTGATAGAAGGCTTCTCAAGTATGCATGCTACCCTGCACATGATGACCAGTACTGAAATATAGAAAGCCATTTGTTTATCAACTACATTATGTAATATAGAATTGCCTTTTTTAGGGACTGGACACATAATAGGAATGCCTTTATTTAACCTTAGTTTTTCTTTGATTGAATCAAATGATGTGTATACACATATCACAACAACAACAACAACGACACACACACACACACACACATTCCCCTCCTTGAATGAAGAAACAATTTCTTTTAAAAAAGTCTGAAATACGTAGTTAGGTGACAAGCAATTTTATTTTGCAAAACAATCACTATACAGCAACAAATACATTTGCAAATTGATTGAAAAACATGAACTAACTACAACCAGCCATTGAAGAAATGCTTTTCTGTGGTAACAGGCTCTAGAATTATCAGAAGAAAGAATCCTCCACAGATTTGTAGTGATGCATTGGAATCTTGGGAACCCAGCATACAGAGTACACTTTTTGTTGATTTTTTTCCTTTTTGCTAAAGTTGAAGTGGACTTTCATGATTGGCATTCTTTTAGGGTTTGAAAAGAATCTTTACCTATAGAGGGACTTGGCCTCAACCTACATGGCTAGGCTGAAAATCCTAGGTGTAAAAACACAAACATCAGTGTTGATGCTAGCTTGTCAGTCTTTGAAGAAATGCCTGGAATTGCCTCCCCAATCGATTAATCTACTTTTTCTTTTCTGCTTTTACCACAAATCATTTCCTTTCCTTCCTGTGGCATAAAAAATAAGAGGAAAACTAAATACAGCTAGGTCAGAGTCATCCACATTTAGAATATTTATTTACTATCACTAATAAAATGCTATATTTGGCTGCTGATCTCATTTCTACCGTGTGTGTGTGTGTGTGTGTGTGTGTGTGTGTGTGTGTGTGTGTGTGTGTGTGTGTGGTGTGTGGAGAAGGCAAACTAGTCTACTCTAGTTTACTGGACCTTTTCCTTCAGCTACCTACAGTCAAACAGAGCTGGAATTACACAGGCATCTTTCCTATGGGTTGGATTTCAGCCCACCGTCCTGCTGGAACTCAGCAGGCAGATCCAGAAAGAGTCTGTTCCTAAGTGAACACGGCCTTTGAAACTCATCGTGAACTCGGATCCTTCCTGCATTGTTGCAAGGTACCCAATTTTCAGTTGCAGGAGACCCAGAGTGTGTGAGTCCATTGCAAAAGCTGGCCTTTGAACTCTTCAGAACTCTGGATACTTACGTATTCTTAAACAGGTTCTCAAAGGCTAAAGCCTGAGAGAAACTGGCATGAGTAGATCTAGAAATGGAACTGTGAAGCTTTCATTTCAAGATCAGCGTATGGGTGTCCCCACAAAAGTGGTGTCCAAAAAGCTTAATTTGAGTCATTATCTTAAGAGAGTAGGTAAGGCAGGATCCATCCCGTATTCCCATAAGAAAATGTTAGCCTGTGCATTTCTCTGTCTCTGTCTGTATTCAAAACTTCAGTCCCTTTGTGTTATGTTTATTTGGGATCTCATTTTCATATAAAACAAAGATATGTATTCATTATAATTATATTAGCATTAGAAATAAATGATTATTTTGGTGCCAAATCTATTAACATCGGGGCTTACATAATTTTATTTTGAACACACATCGTAAGAAACTGAATTTTAACACTTAGAATTTGTTTTATTAGCCTCAACATTTATAATAAACGAGATTGAAATTATTTTCCTCATAGTTTAAAACTACCCTAACCAACTGTTAACTTCTTTTTTCCTAGGGAACTTTAATCCCTGTCTAGCACTAATCAAAACATGTAAGAAAAGAATGTACTTCTCCACACACCATTACCCCTTCTTCCATTACTTGTGCATTCCAAGAGAAGGTAATGAATGGATTGTCCAGAGTGAAAACAGTCATTAAAGTTATTTCAAAAATAACTGATTCACAAACAAAGACATCCTTTTTGTGTGTGTCAACATCCTAGCTGAAAAGATTGTCTTGGTTTGATGTTGAGTTTTCTGTGTGACTGTCACGTTGGCTACAATACTCAATGGGTCACCAAAATGCCACCAGTGTCTCTCTGCTTTTGCATCCTCTTGCATTCTCTCTTAACTACCCATAGACCTCTCTGTCCTGTTCTTGCTCATCTTGTCTTTGACTGGTTTCATGGACAAAAAAAAAACCTAGCCAACTTTTTGTATTTAACTTTTCAGATTTAGTCTACCAATCCTGAGCAAGAAAAATAACAAATAAAATATTAGAAAAAGTCCACCCAGTTTGATAATGCTTTATCTTATATTGGTCCATTGACTATTTCTCATTAATTAAATATGATTTGTAAATGAATTAATTGAATTGTGATGTCTGAACTTATATAAAATAAAAAATAATATTTACTGATAAGTCATACCATGTTCTTGAACAGACTGCAATGCTGAATCCTAGAAAGATGGATTTAGCTATCTGTGTCTCAAAGATTATACAAGTGTAGCTTTCCAATATGTTGCATTTTTCTTTTTTTGATCGGGGGGTCTGGATGTAAAGAAGCCAACTATCTTCTACCAGAAAATTTAATGAACAAACACTATTTGGAAACTGAAAAATCGAGTCAAAATTATTATTCATAGTTTCAACTTTAGCAAATGGAAAAAAGAAAAAGAAAAGAGGGAGGAAACAGATAATAAGGAATCTGTTTCATGAATGATCATAGGAACAAAACCCAAACTATTCAGTGATGAAACATGAAATAAATCCATAATCTTAGAACCAATGATCTGTAAACCCTTTTATGTATAACTGGACCCACTCCACAAACTTCATGGTGGTGAAAGCAAAGGAAAACGAAATGTTCTAGCATCACAGGAGAGACCTGACTCTGGCACTAAAACAGGGTTACAGCTTTGAGTTGTTACAGAAAGCAACTTCATGCTAAAACATTTTGTCTTTTTTTCAAATGCGTTTTTCAGTAGGGGGAGAACCCGGCTAACATCTACTTTCACACGCTTAAAACTGCAACACCAAAGGGTGTAGGAGAGACACAGATACTGTGAATAAAGAAGTATCATATTCAAGTATATGAGGAAGTATCACAAATGGCCACAGAGAAATATATATATATTTATATCTATAATACTGTATCAAACAGATGGCATGGGGGTGTGAAACTGACTGTGTGGACATGAATCTAGCCAATCAACTGACATTCTAATCAGACACAAGCCCATCCTGATGAAAGTGCATCAGTCCTAAGACCTGCACTTTGACACTGCTTCTTCAACCACAGTTCAAAAGCTTTACATCCAGCTTTTAGTTAAATAACTTATTGGAATGTCATACTCTGATATACTCATCCAGGTCCCAAACATTAATAACTTAGCTGCATCTTTCTTCCCATTTATACAAAATAACACTTGGAAGATGTGTTTCTCACATGCCCTTTCCTTCCTGCAACCAGACTCCTTCAGACTCCTTGCTGTCATTGAATCCATCATAAGTGAAAATGGCAGTTTTTAATCTTTTCACCCATAAACAGAATAGTGAAATGAGCAGCTTGGATTTTTAACAAGGCCTTTCAGAATGAATTGGATAGCCTTCAGGCACATGAAAGGTAAAAATGCAATTTTAAAAATAATAATAATTAATAATAATAATACTCCATGCAAAACAGAGCAGAGCGAAAATAATTGTCCAACGGTATCCATGTAAAGCCGCGTGTCCCTGTTGCGGATGGAAATCAGGTCATTTTCTGCATATACTATTAATTTTTTATATAAAATTGTAACAATTACTACAGTTTGGGGGTGAGATCATTTATCTATGGTTTGTAAAGAATGAATATGACACCTGCTCAGAGCCCACTCCTGCCAAGAGCTCATGCCTAAATATGATTCCAGTGCTAAAGGAGAAGAAGTATTCACAAGCCCTGCTTAGCAAGCGCGGCAGTGACATCCTCAGCCAAAGTGGCAAGCTGAGGGGATTCGAGCAGGTTGATGCTTCCAGAAGAGGAGACATTGCTGAGTCGTCGGGGTGATGCCACACTCGACCTGCTTGGGGACTGTGTGATGATCTCAGCCCCATGGTCGACACGGGCCTTTGCGTGCTCTCTGAAGTTCAACTTTTGGCTGTCAATCTGTTTAAGGGAAGCATTAGTCTTCATTAGTCCAATCAACTTCATCAGTCACCAGCTCTTTCCCCTTATCCTATAGCTGAATTTGATCTCTATTCAGTTCTGCATGCCCCCCTTCCTGTTTGACAAGTTCTTTAACCAGAGACCTGTTTTGGTAAAACTATTTCTGAACGTAGTTAGGGATTATGTTGGGCTACAAAAGTGGTAGATGTAGGTTTTTCCATTTAGTGACATATATATAGATAGATATACATACATGTATGTAAGAACAATTAATTTAAAATATTGGCCATGAATTTGAGAGAGAATGAAGGATTCATAGAGATGAAAGGGAGGAATGACTTAATTATGTTATCTTTATTATATTATAATTTCAAAAATACAGGTAATGATTTTAAAAGGAATATTTCATAAGAAACATGCTGGCACAAACAATGACTGGCTCATGGCCCCATCTCTTACCTTCACGTTACCACCTCCAGGTACGTGGTGAGCATTGTCAAGTGAACCAACTTTAGCTTGGGCCTTTTCCTTGAAATCCAGTTTTACGCTCTCAATTTTCACACGTCCACCACCTTCAAGAGGAGAAAGAATGTCAAATTCCTTGCTGAAATGAAATCTTGTATTTATGAAAAAATCCTAACAAAAGGATGAACCACATAGAATGTCAGAGATGCTATACTCTACTACCCTAAACAGACATGAGAGGAATCTGTTTGAATTCTCAGTCTATACCATTTCCCATTATGAGGCAAGATAATGACATTCTTCTTATACCAATGTACAGATTGCGTCACATATTATTCTTTATTCTTTATCCATGTCTACCTTCGAAACCAGATAAGTTTTCTGAACTATTGTATCATCTCTAAAAATAACACAATAAAGAAAATATTCTACTGTACTAAAACTTTGGACATTTACTCTTTTATTTTTACTAGAACAAAATTAAATGGAAATGGAACTATTCTTCATTGATCTTCATGATTAAAAAGTCACTTATCTAAAAAAATAAGTTGTAGGCTATAATGGTGCATTCCTAGACAGCTGTGATCTTGACACACCTAGAGTCATCTGAGGGAATCTTAATTGAGGGCTTGTCCAGATCTGATTGGTCTGTGGCCCTGTCTGTTAGAGACTGACTTTGTTGACTGACATAGCAAGGCTCAGCCTACTGTGGGTGGCACCCTCCTCGAGCAGGTGGACCTGGGCTAGGAGAATTCTAGATGAATATGGGCCAACAAACAAGTCAGAAAGCAACCCAGCAAGCAGGATTCTTTCATGGCTTCTGCTTTAGTTTCTTGTCTCCCTCCATGATGGACTGTGACCTAGAAGTGCAAGATGAACCCTTTCCTCCCCTAAGTGACTTTTATTTATGGTATTCAACAGCAACCGAAAGCAAACTGGGACAGTAGGTATATAGTCAATATCCAGTTAACTCTCTATCTCTGCAAATTCTGCATCCTTGGGTTTAAAATACTTGAAAAAATTGCATCTGTATCAGACATCTGCAGAACATTTTCCTTATCATTATTTCCTGAATATTATATGATCAAGATTTAAACAACATTTAGATTGTATTAGATGCTATAAATAATGAGATGATTTAAAATGCCCGGTCTTGACCCTTTTGCTCATCATTCCTCCCTCTCTGCAACTGGATTCCAGGAGTTCAGTTCAGTGTTTAGCTGGGGGTGTCTGCCTTTGCTTCCATCGGCCACTAGATGAAGGCTCTAGGATGGCATACAAGGTAGTCATCAATCTCATTATTAGGGAAGGGAATTTGATGTAGCCTCTCCACTATTACTTAGTGTCATCCTTGTAAATCTCTGCAAATCTCACTAGCGCCAGATCTCTCCTCAAACCTATAATGACTTCCTCTATTGGGAGGAGGAGGGGAGAGGGAGCTGGGATTGACATGTGAAGCAAGCTCGTTTCTAATTTAAAAAAGATTAAAAAAATATACAGAAGGGGAAATCTATGCCGTTCCATGTAAGAGACCCGAAAGAAGACTGCTCTCATTTGTACATTTTCAACCTTGACAACTTTGCTGATGAAACAAGTCAAGAATTGCATTTTATACAACTACTTTTAAGGGCTATATTTAATTAGCATATAGAGTGCTAGGCTATGACTTTGAATGGATTCTTGTACAGATGCTGACATTGCCACTGTTATGGTAACACTGAGACAGGCTTTTGATCATGCTATTTCCTATATTACTAACAGTATGACATGTGAGAATCTGCTGATGGTTATGGTGCCATGACCACCCTTTAGAGTTGTTTTCTCCATCTCCGCAGACCTTTCTCAGACTTTCAGATGTAGGGGTTTCTTCTACACTTAGTAGTTATTCAGTGTCTCTGTCTCTCAGACTGTTCTTAACCATGACTGAGTGTTTGCTGATATATTTGACTTAGGAAGATGGAGTAGAATCTTTTTTATTTATCTGCACCTAAGAGATTTTCATGTGATGCTTGGTTTCAGGCATACACTTTTGTTCAGAAGTGCATCTTGATTCTTTTATCTGACATTTCCATGGGGATTTTGATTTAGAAAAAATTATTGCAAGGATCTATAAAATATGTTAAATACTTTTCAATTTGGAATTAATTTGGTTTTCTTGTTTGTTTGCTTGTTTTTAGACAGGGTTTCTCTGTGTAGCCTTGACTGTCCTGGAACTGTCTTTGTAGACCAGACCAGGCTGCCAGGCTGGTCACTAACTCACAGAGATCCACCTGCCTCTGTGTCCTGAGTGCTGGGATTAAAGTGTGTCCCATCACGTCTGGCTCAAAATGAAATTCTTGTTGCTTATATATCTCTGTAACTTTTTAGGGGTCAGTTTTTCACTACCACAGATTATACAGTCCTTGGGGAAACTGCAAGGGTCAGTGCCATCTCAAGGGCAATGGAAGAGGCTCTACTTGAGAAAACTTTCCTGATGATAATTGTATCCTTCCTACTAGATGAAGAAAGAAGTCTCATTAAGATTTAATTGCATGTCTCTTGAGCTTGTAGCATCTTTCTTGTTCTAACTCTAAACATTTATGCTAATACCCAGCTGGTTGTCTGGAACCTTTTGTAATTGTAAGGTATTGAAATATATTTTCAAAAACACTCATTTTTTTCTCCTGAAATTTAGGGTGTACAAACTACCATGTAATTCACATGAAAGGGAGATAGCTCAACATATGCATTATTTCATTGTGCATTGCTCTTCCTGTGTTTTACTTAGCCTGTGGGTCTCACTTATTGGTTGTGATGGGATTAACTTCATTCAAAATGATTCATACAAATGTAACCATCTTTGTTAGCTGGAGATTGTTGGGCCTTTTAACTAAGGATATTAATTGCTTTGGGATCTTATTTTTACATTTTTTGGTAGCTTTTGATAGAAATTGCCTTCCCAAGATTCTGTCTTTTGACTGTATGCAGTGTCAACATAGTTGGTTAAAATGTTGTTGAAGTTATTTTTAAAGGAAAAATATAATATCGACACAAACTACATCCAACAAAGGAAGCTTGTACAGGCTAGCTCTCTTGGATTCTCACTAGACAGTGTTATGTAACATTTAGACAAGTCTATTTGAATTTAGAGATATATGCCTCTGCTTTTAAAATACTTTGGCAGTCACCATGAGCAGTAATTATGGAAAACTATAATCTTTATCAAGCTTTAATGTGAAGTGCAGATATTTCCATTTGTACCTTTGGCTGTGAACTGTTTCCTTTACTTTCAGTGTAGACATTGTACAAAGCTGAACAACTGTGTGAAAAGACCGCTATTGTCAAGGATCACCACACTGACATTTCCTTTATGATTTAGTCATTCAATTTAGTTATAATAGAAGAACCAGATTTAGAAACAAGTGGGAGTATGTAACAACAGTCTTTTACGTCCTGTAAAGCATACACAGAATATTGGCTTTATCTCTATGATGGTTTCTGTGTATCCAAACTCTAGGTGAATTTGACTAATTTCATCTGTTTTGAATTCTGCAAGGAAATTGGCAATGTGGTAAACTATCCAAGTTATGTTATAAATGACTGAACAGGAGTAGTCAGTCATTCAGATGTAGACCGGCTATAGACAGGGTGTTTTGAAGATCTGAACTAAGGAATGTACCCTTGTGGCTCATGAGGCAAGAGTACAGATCCACTGGTACAGTTCTGTATCCAGCAATGCAGATTCCATATACAAAGATCCAATATCCTTGACTTGTCATGAACAACCTTTAGCACAGTGAAGACTCATTACCAGTTATTTCTAATGTAGTTGTCCATGCTGAGACTTGTTTTAGCCATCTTTGTATCCAATCTAAAGAGTCTTAATAATTTCCTGTCTAGACGTCTCAGCTCAATTATTTTTATACCTTACTTTTGACAATATTTGAAATGATAGTTAATCTACTAATGTACATTTGGCTTAATGCCAAACAGATGGTTAAAGCCAATTATTTTGCTATCCTGAAATCCAATGGTATGTTATAAATTGTACAGTGTCAAAATATCCTCAAGAACACTGGATATTTGACAGTTATCCATTATTACATATGCTTGGAGGTGGAATTTAACATAACTAAACCATTTGTGATACTCAGTGCAAAAAAATGGCTCATGTCATATTCATACTTTTGAAATGAAGATCCCCACCATGGCAGGTAAGAATTTAAGTTCTGCTTTAAAATACTATCCTATGAGATACCCTTAAAAAACAAGAAAGCCTAGGACTGAGTAAGCTGGGGCATACTAACTTCTGCTGCAGAGTTCCAGTGCTTATGGGTTGGATAAATGAATCAGATAAACAATTTTCTTCAGTTGTGACAGCCAATACTATTTTACATAATGTAGAAAACAATTTTAGCAAAAATATTTGGAAATACTGTCCTCAATCACTGTTCCTATGTATTGACTCCATATATTTTGCAGTCTACACATTCTGAAAGAACTCCAGTGTTCTATACACATGGTCACTCCCAGGTAATTAGGTTCACTGATTCCAAAGAAAGACACTCTGACTGTTTGAACTTAAATTTCTGTTCACAAAAGCTTGAAGTATCCAGACCTTGAAACACTTTTTCATTCAGGGTTTTCACAAAAACATCAAGAATTCTGCTTGTCTACTTCTTCAGTCCAATTAAGTATCCTTCAATTGGTAAAAATATTTTATTTTTTTACCTGGCCTGTGACGGATGTTCTTCAGAGAGCCACATTTCGATGTCACATGGCTTAAGTCTATCTTCTTAGTAACAATTTGTACCTGTGTGAATCACAGAAAATGAACTTTAGATACCCTAGACATGGAAGGCCCCCAAGCTGGACAAAAATCTGGACATGTTCCCACGCTTGTAAAATTTAACATCACATTCAAAAACACACATACACACAAACACACAGAGAGATACACAGACACAGACACACGATCGCACACACACAGACACAGACACACACACACAGACACAGACCCCCCCACACACACAAAATTTCCCATCTGTTTCCCCTATTTCAAACTGGAAAGAAGAACCCAAGTAAGTGAAAACCCTGAAACAGAAGTTTTATTAGTAGATAATAGATAATGTCATAAGAGCATGAGGACATTTGCATTAATAAGCCAAGCGCCCCCTGAGAAAAGTCCTACCATATTAAACTCTTCCAAAGCAAAAAGCCAAGAGAAGGATGGATTACTATTTACAAGCTGACCTTTATGTAGAAGTGACTAAGGCTGAGTACAGTAACAAGACCAGCAAGCAGACAGAAGACAGCTTTAAGTGGGCTGTCCTAAATTGTTCCCTTAGCTTGGCTAAATGGAATTTTTCTTGCACACTGAGTTTTTCTGATTCATTAAAACATTCAATCTGTCAATATTTGAAGCAGAGTTTTCCATCATCCATTGGAGTGGTTCAGTCTCCATCAACCTCAAAAAGTAAGAATCCCTCAGACACATGGAATACACACAATAAAATGGTGATTCCTTTCTTAAGGGACTGTAAGACCACTGTTTTGCAGGTTGGAAGCTCTCATCTAAGCTTAGTATAAGATCTTGCATTATCTGAACTTATTCTTTACTGCTGTATTTGGACCAGAGGCATTCACCACATAGGGCAGTGTGGTCCATCTTCTGCTACCCTCAAGGAAATAAACTGGACCAGAGCTTCTTCCCTGTAATATCACATGATGTCATGCATACTTAGGAGAGCAACCAAGTCAGTGTGTATACTGGTCCCAAGGCATAGACCAGCATTCATGAAGGAACACAGCTAATACTACAGTGGCATTTCCCCAGCAGAGGATTAAAGCTCAGTCTGTTTTAATTATCATGTGACTGCTCGTTATGGAAGGGGCTAAATCCATGTTTGAATCCATGTATGCCCACTGAAGAGTGAGAAGAAGGAATCTTAGATTACTGAAGGTTCAGGATCCGATGCTCTATACATTACTTAAGCCACAGATCACCAGAGTTTCATGTTTAGATGGCAGAAAAATAGAGTCAGCATGATTCACCTTTTGAAATTATTTTTATTTTATGGGGGAACCATGATTTTTTTTAGCTCAAGTTTAACTGACTACTTTCACTCTGCCTCTAACCAAAAGGCAATAAGTGTTCTTTTCATAAGATATTATTTACACTAAATGAAAGAGCCAGGAAATATCCCATCAGGATAGAATGTGGGCTAGAACTGCAGACTTTTTACTTTGAATTATAGATGATCCATGCTTTGCCAATTTTGTGTTTTTCTGAAAGATATCCTAACTTTCATGAATAATGAAGCATGCAGGATTGATATCACACACTTTGAGCGAGCACGTTCAAGTATACCAGTCTTTGCCTTAAGAGTAATTTAAATGGAGTTAGAAAGTGTGAGCCTGGTTCACTTGTTCAGAGGAAATCAGACAGCAATAGAAGTACCTTGATGACTGAAAAAGGCCAAGAAACAGTTAGCAGGTGAGGAGGGAGCCATCCCCTAGAAAACCATGGTACATCTATCCTGCTTTCCTTTTCTCAACCGATCTCACGGCAAAGGATGGGAAGTCCATCACCCAGAAAGCAAGCTACCACACTAGATGACACGTGTTGAGGATGTAGGTGTCACCAGGAAAGTGAAGAAGGAAAGAGGGTGCTGGTTATGCTGGAGGCTGCACACACTTTCAAGACAGCTTTCTCCGAGGAGCTTCTACTTACATTTCCGCCCCCAGCAGAATGTTTGATGTTATCCTTGGAACCACATCTTGACTGAACTTTGCTAAAATCGATCTTCTTGCTTAAAATCCTAACCTAAAAGGAATTGGAGGTAACATTTTCTTTCCAGATACTGGACAGAGGGAACTAGAATGAGAAGTACTAGAGAGACCCTCAGCTCCCTCCACCCACGGTCACTTAGGAGAACAAACTACACTGTAACTGAACGGTAGCTACATCATACAATATGAGTTTTCCTGGAACCCCGGAGACCAAGAGCTCTGGAGCTCTAGGTAGCCTAGCTCTATATAATCTAGAAATGGAAGAATGAAAAGATAATTCTTGGATCATTTGTGTTGGGGAGGCTGGAAACACGGGGGCTCTGGTTTACTCAGTAGTGTGGTACAATGTAGGTTAGGTAGCCCATGATCTTGGAGTATATGCCAGTGGTACTCTCAGCCCCAGGCTGTCAATCTTCAGTTATTAACCACTTCCTGCCTTTAACTGTTCTGTTAGCTTTCAATGCATAGGTGAGGCTCAATGCTTTGTCTGGCTGAGAGCTCCAAGTCAGGATTCTCATTCATGCAAGAATTCCTGGTTCCCTAGGAAGGTCAACAAAGAACCCCTGGAGCTGCTTTGACTGTGACTGTGTCATTTAAAGCCCCCTGCTTGCAACAGTGCCCAGCAACCATTACCCATTTAGTGGTCATCTGGGAGTATTCCTTCACTATGCCAAGGTAAGAAAACACCTAGATATCATCTAGACTTTGGTTGCTGCTTCAAGGCAAAATGTTGTATTTCTTTATTCAGTAAGTCAAGCATTCATCCTGAAAACCACAGTAAATCAGGACCTGGAAAGACATTACTGTGCTTTGTAACATAAGAGTCATAGCTATTGTAATTTCTTTCATCTGTCTTTTGAAGTTGTTTTGAAGGTCAAACAATAAATATAGCAAGAAGGATTTAGTTTTTGTTACACTCATTGCTATCCTTGTTTTTTCTTTTCATTTTTCTTTTGGATACATCTTCCACCATAGCTTAAAAAAATCACACTGTTATATCTTTAGTGTACAGTTTATCTCCTGTTAAATAACTTTAGTTTAAATGTACAGTTTTCTTGAGAGTATTAACATGTCTATGAGTATTTGCAGAAAAGAGTCTAAAATTCAAAAGGACATAGAATCCTATTTTTAGCTAGGCAAGGCTTAAATCACAGTGTCTGTCTAGCATGAACAAGACAACTTGTCCCTTACAGACAAATATCATTGGCAGCTCTCATCAGGAGCCCAAGGCATGGACCTCTTGTCAACATTTAAATTCAGAAGACATGATGGCTAGGCTGCTCCCTAGGGCATAACAAAACTTTCCACATAAAAACTGTGGGGATAGCACAGGATGTACAGCTACCATGAAATACACCTCGTTCTAAGAGTTTTACAGAAGTGGAGGAAGTAGTTGCTTTTAAAACTGTGAAAACCATTGCATTTAAAACTTCAATCATAAATTATCTTCAGAAGGCAAATCATACAGATTTATTATGCCTGCTAATATTTCAAGTAATTCTGGAAAGGAAATATAATTTATATGAGGCATTTTACTAATCTCTGGTGATAAAAGATACTTTTAATTTCATTTCAGAAATTTCAATTTAATCATTAAAGTTTCAAGTGACTCACCACTAAATCATTAGAACACCAACATTGATTCTGATTCACTTACTGTACGAATGGAAATCCAAGTTCAGCTACAAAGATCTGTCCAACCCTAACATTTAATTAACTATTTGACAATTTTTATGATTTACAAAATAAATGATTCAATCCAAAAACTCACCTTGCCAACATCACATAGAACATTCTAGAAGCCCAAAATCTTATAATTTAGAAAGCTTACTTTTGTTCATTTTTTTTTTCAGGAAAAACTTAGCTGGTCTTTTTTTAATGGAAAATTTCTACTCAATTTGTAAGGTAAAACAGGCTTTGGGCATGAATAATGATATATTCTTTATAAATATATGTATTGCAATAATTTCATAACATTTTTATTTAAAATGAGGCAAAGGATGACAAATAGAAATAAAGTCCTCCATGTTGCATGATGACTAAATTCAAATACAGAAAGGTGACTTTGGACCCCTGCATTTTACTCTGCTATTGGTGATTCACTAGCTTGGTTGATTTTTTTATTCAGATAGCAGTCATATAATTTTGAGGTGGTACATAAGTATAAAGTAAATATGTCATTAGAAATTTAATCAGAAGTTTAAAATTCTACTAATTCTGTCTGTTCTTCTACCTTGCTTAAGACATACATAGTTAATTTCTAGATAATATTTACATTACTCTAGTGGGACTTCAGCATAATGTTTTAATTGTGAAAACTTATAACCATATCCTGTAAATATGACAAACTGTTCCTTTAAATGAACTAACATTCCTCCCACATAAATGGGGCTATTTTAGGAAAAGGTCAGAAAAGAGCCAATCTGAGTAGTTACTTAGAAATTCTGGAACCTGTAAAATTAAAGTTGATAAATCTCTTAAGGTTTGTTTTTAGCAAAACAAAACAAGCCAGAGACATTCATCCCGTTATCAACTTGAATTTCTTATACTAGGAGATACTTACTCATTTTAACACACACTGAGGCATCTGTCTTTATCTAAAGAAGCATATGTAAGCTCTATTACTAAGATACAGATAAGATCAGTGTATGCTATACAAAATCAGCACTCTGCAGTCTTCACACACCCTGGAGGGATGGACCTAAGTTGCCACATTTTTGCTGTCTTCTCCCAGGTGAATTTAGATTATAAGACTCTTGGGAAAAGCTAGTGGACAGTGATTTCCCTGCAACCTCTCAGAAAAAACCAACACTTCCTTTGGTGTTGATTATTTCTCAGGACATCTTAGAATGAAGCTCTCCTTCACTCAAATTATCTGCCTCTCTCAAATGGAACTCCTATTCCACTGGAACAGAAACTACTGGTTGCTTAAAACTATCAGATTAAAACAAAAGCAAGACTATGTCAGATATCCTGGAGACGGGAACTTAGCCATGTTGATGAGCTCCTCAATGATTTACTCATCTGAAAAATCTATATCCTCATGAACACACACATTTGGGTTTAGAACTGCTATAGTTAAATCAGAATTTAATTAACCTTGCCTATAATGTCCTCAACATTGATATAAATAATAGATATTCTTAAATAGACATTTAAGTTGAAATCAATTTATGCCACATGTAGAATTAGTGTAAAACTCTAGAGAGAAAGGGTGAGTTGAAAAAGGGACTGACTTTATCATATGGACTACCAAGATCGACTTATCATATAGCACAGAAAGTGGGACCATACTGAAGCCTTGTGCTGAGTAGGCAATTCTGAGGTCTTAGAAAGTTTTATCATTTGATACACTTCAAGACTTCAGAGTAGCCTCCCAACAGGATGTAGGAGGGACACTGTAAGCTCAGCTGTCTTGTAATTCTAGAAAATCAGTAATAAGTCTCTTCAAAGTCATACATGGTAATTTCTTCATTTGATGTTTTCCCTTCATTTAAATTTTTAGAAAATTCTAAGGAACAGAAGGCCAGATCACTGAAGTGAATTAACTTCTAAACAATCTGCCCAGCTACCCGCTGTTTCCTGAGGTCTAGGCTGTTCATGTCCTTGCTTGGCTGAATGAACAGCAAACAAAATGGGGCAGCCCAGATTTCAGTTTTGTGAACCCAACGCAGTAATTTTCTCAGAGGTTTGAATAATTAATATTTACAAATATAGCTCTAGAAATCCGGTTACCCTACAAAAGACCCTTGGATTACAGTTTTTCAATCTCTTTTGAATAAAGACAGGCCCACTGGTCTAAGGACCTTTAGTTTTGGAATAGCAATGGCTTTGGTAACAGAAAGAGGTGAAAGCAATCAGTAAATGAGGCTTTACAGCATAGTGTAATGAGCTTCTGTGAAGAGCTCCCACCTTCAGACTAGGGTGACTGACATTATTTACAACTCTGAGTTATCTTATTATTCAACTATTCATCATTTACCATAGCCTTAAATAATTAAATGAAAGTAAGGCAGTAGAGGAAGACAATAGAAGTCAGTATAAAACCTGTGCAGTCTCTCAAGATTTAGGGGCCATGCTTTGATCTCTCACACTTCTGTCACAGACCAGTTGGCAAGCTCATTGCTTGATTCTTCATATGTGAGCGAGAAAAAAAAGTCTTATTTATTCTCTTTGCCTTAGTCTTTCTTGGAGATCCTACTATCTTTGACCCAGCTACGCTGAGAAAGACAGACTGAAGCGATAACTGAGACTTCACAAGGTGATCAATCAAATTCACAGGCATAGCCACGCCTTGCTTTCTGTAGCCATTTGATAATGAACAGTCTCAAAATCAGGTTCCGCTGATTGATCCCATTCATAATTCACAGCTACTATAGGGGCACAGAACTGGGGTTGTTTTTGTTGTCAAACAAAGAGCCTGTGCTTTTAAAATGATCTTGATACAGTTGATGACGAAGAGTAAGAAATGCCTCAGTACATATTGTAGTGAAAAGGGTCCAACCAAAGAAACACACCTTGAGCAGAGCCAAAGAAACACACTTTGACCCTACCAACCAGAACCAAAGAAATGTACCCTGACCCTGAAAGAAACATACTTTGGCCGGGCGGTGGTGGTGCACGCCTTTAATCCCAGCACTCGGGAGGCAGAGGCAGGCGGATCTCTGTGAGTTCGAGGCCGGGCTGGACCGATAGCCTCCAAAACAATACAGAGAAACCCTGTCTCGTAAAAACCAAAAAAAAAAAAAAAAAAAAAAAAAAAGAAACATACTTTGTCCCTGGAATCAGAGCTAATGAAAGCCAGTGAAAGAAATACACCCTGACCCTAAAACTAGAGCCAAAAGACTAAAAAGGACCAGAGAAAGAAACACACTTTGACCCTGAAACCAGAGCCAAATCTGACCCTAACCCTGTGTGGAAAACTAACCACTCCCTGAGCAGAAGTTGTAGTTATCCTAAACCCAGGGATTGAAATCTGAACAATCCCCATCCTGGAAAACTCCGCCCCTTAAGAATCCCTATATAAACCCTTTGTCTGTTCACCTTGTGGCTGTTCAGGCTGCCAGGCTGTCCTCTGCCACCCTGGCAGAGGGCACCCACTCTCCTGGATTCTTCCCTCCCAATAACTCTCTTGAATGAGGTTTGGGTGAGGCCTTCTTTTGTAGGAGCAGAGATGACCCAGAGGAGAGAGGAGCAGGGCTGTAATATTTTTCACCCAGGGAAACCTTCCCCTGGATAATCGAAGTTGTTATACTCCACTCTCTGGGGGACTGGAGCCGAACTGTAACAACTTCGCTGGGGAAACCTTCTCCTGCTGAAGCAGAGATGCACTGGGGAAGCCTCTCCCTGAAGCAGGGCTGTAAGCTGTGCCCTACTGTGACCCATGGCATTCCTTGGCTCCTGATTGCTAGAATACCTTTCCATCTGAGCTGTGACACTCAGTATTCTATGACTCCTGAGTGCCAGAATACATTTCCACCAAAGCTGCAACACTCAGTATTCTTTGGCTCCCAAGTGACATAATCCATCCCCATCTATCCTATCGAATCCGTGGAAATGGTTACACATATAAGACTCTTCCTTTGTTTCACAGAAAAGGTAAAACAGAAGTTGCCTACATTTTCTTAAGCTATATGTTTGATTCGTCTACTTTTTAAAAGAATATTAATTAAAGATGTATTATATTGAAATTGAGGACTTTGTCACAGAGAATTGCAATTTAAAATATTTAGTAAGATGTAGTTATACCTTGAGTTAAATGAGCCAAGTTTGCTCTCTCCAGGAAATCCATGATTGTGTTTTTTCCCCTCAGTAGAATGAGCCCATGTTTGGGCTGACAGGATTAACTACATTATTTTATGCAAAGTTCATCAAATTTTCTGCTAACTCATCTATCCCATCAGTCACTGGTTTGCCTTACTTAACTGTGTTGAGCTTCTCTAGTGACAGAAACAAGACTTTAACATAAGAGATAAGAAACCAGTATAAAAGCTACACATACAGAAAGCAACACCTGTTACAATTGGAGACAAATAACCAAGTTGCCAAATTTCTTCACACCTCTATTATAAAACCTAGTTTCTACACAGAGTACAGGATTGTTCTGTCTTCTTTGATGGTTCTGGGCTGGCTGCTGCCCACTCAAAAATACTAAGATAATAAACTTTTAGTTGAAAGCAGCATGTTAGTGGTTTCGATTTTTTTCAATGCAACCAGATAATAAAGGTGCTTAACACATCACACTAACATAAAATAGTTACCATTGATAAAGCAGGAATTGTAAAATGCTCGAATCAAACCCTCTAATAATTATCTACACACAAAAGCTTTCTTCACTTCCAGTATTTGAGAAGATGCACTCACTATGATGGTGGTGGGGTATTAGCAGGAAAATGCTACAGTGTTGAGACATAGATATTTTCTGTAAATATAGCTCAATTGCAAGTATCATTTTACCTTTGTAAATTTAATTAATGTATAGCATTCACTAAAAGTTGGGGTGGGATATTTTCTCTCTGCCTCTCATCTTGGTGAAGAAATACCTCCTGCTTCTGAAACAAAAGTCATGGCATGGTTTCTCAGTTGTAGCTTTCTTTCTGAGTTGTCTGATTTCTTTATGAGTTGCGCTGAGAAAGGGTGGTTTTTAGTCAGTTTAACTCCCTTACCAGTGAAAGAAGATGTTTAGCAAATACCACCATGACTTTGAAGCTATTTTTGTTCATGATATAAGTTTTGGTTAATAAGCCTTTATTGTCTGTAAGCATAATCTCTGGGGACGCTTTATTTCTGATCAAAGAATATACCAACTTCATGAATTACCAACTTTAGTGGAGGTCAACTTGGTGTGACCTGGGAAGATAAACAAACAAAAAGAGAAGAAAATGGATGTCCTCCTATTTTTGTACTGATCTAAATTGTCTTGCAAATCTATGTCTAAAATTAAAGGAGAAAAGGTTGGATAACTTTTAAGAAACTTCAAAGAATGTAATATATTATAAAATTCATATTATATCATATATTCATATCATATTCTATAAATAACATCAATACCTTTTAATATTTATTGAAATTTCTGTTAGTTTCTATACGACATCATAGAAATTACAATTTTTTTGATGAATCTAAGGGATGATAGTTTTGAAGTTGACATTCTTTGGGAAACAAAGAAAGTCACTTTTAGTGAAGAAGAATCTGCAGACAGGGGGGTTTTCATAACAGGGAACCTGTCCAGTGTTGCTTGCCTGTAATCTCAGCACTTAGGCAGCTGAGGCAGGAGCATGGAGTTAAAGGCCAGTGTGCTTTGTAGCAAAACCTTGTCTGAAAGCAGGGTCCTCCAATCTTAGACAGTTCTTATCAAAAGCTATGGTGAAGAGCTTTCCATTGAAGTTTAACCTGATTTTATTCAAGTTACTCTTCTAAACGATCTACGTAGAACTATTTAAAATGTAACACCTGGCTATTTCTAAATGACCCAAAAGGGGATGATTTTTGTTCTTTGCGTTTTTATTGCAGATCAAATTTGTTAGAATTTGGGTTACAGTTTTGGCTTTGAGAGTTTCTTACTCCTCATATTTTTACAGCATCTTCCTGTGAAGTATCTCTGTCTGTGACTGCACTATTACAGCTGTTCTTGAAGGGGCCCATTGTCCTCCCCTCCCTGGCTCATCAGTTGAGTTTTCTTAAGCCCTTGGGCTTTCCTAGGACAGACTCATAAGGTGAAAACGAATGAACATTGATGCTCAGGACGGAGCAGCAAGGGATTTTGGTACCGATGGTGGGCAGGAATGCTTGAAGACATCACACTTCAGCATAGATAGGCTTTTCTTGGCAAGAAGGAAGGATATAAGAAATCAGAGGCAGAAGTTATAGGAGACAAGTGGAGGGATAAGGGAAAAAGGACTAAGATTCAGAGAAATCTGGGATCTAATGGAGCATTACGATTTTGTTCACAGACAAAGGTAGACATTTCTTTTTGCCCTGTATTTCAAGAATAATTAAAAAGTTCATTTGAAGTTGAACCATCCAACAGTATAGTAATATTCTGAGACACATTAAACAGCATTTGTATCATTTTCTTCCAGGCTTTGTTCAAGCAAGATCCGGGTCAGAATAGAGCACAGAGTTCTCTGCTTAGAAAGCAAATGAGTGTTCCAGACCAGCTGCCAGGAGGAAAGAGAGATTTTTTTTTCACAACAGTATAGTTCTTAAGTAGAACTTCCATGGATACAGTTCTGTTCACTAGAATTGTATAGAGTTGGCTGTTTAGCATCAACTGAAATATTCACCCTTTTCAGTACCTTGGCAATAACAGGCAGGCAATAATTTGGCGAATCACATTGTGATTCTGGGATATACATTAGGAAATGGTAAAACATATCACAAGGCATAACTGGTCATAAAGGAAGGAGTTAAAATTGCAATCACTGCAGTTAATAGTCATGGTCTGAATCGGAAAGAGACAACTCAAATCTTTATCACAAGTTAGCTTTAATATACCCAAACCTACAAAGCTTCGGAGACCTGTTAAGAAATCAGCTAAAGGACTCTTGTAAATGGTTAAGCCAACTAGTATCCACTAATGATCAGAAGGAAATGACGTTTTGACTGATTTTTTAACGTATTTCCTAAGCTTGATTTCCTGGATGAAATGAGGACTCAGCAATGAATGGTGACTGGTGACCTTGTAACATTCCCATCTCCTGTGTGCAAAAAAGCCACTAAACAATGCATGGGATCAGATTTTTGACATCAAGTATGTGATATCATGGAGCTCTTACCTGACCCCCCTTAGGCTGGTATTTGATGTTCTCAGTTGATCCGATTTTGGATTTGACATTCTTCAGGTCTGGCAGTGGTTGGTTAATAAGCCGAAGCTGCTTGGGAGTAGCTGGAGACTTTGGAGGAGTGCGAATGATGGCAACTTTCTTCTCACTGGGCACCAAGATGGCGGATTTGGGGGTTCCTGGTGTATGAGGGGTCCTGGGATAGCTGGGGGTTCCAGGAGTGCCTGGGGTACGTGAAGAGTAGCTTGGGGGAGTGCCAGGCGTGATTGCAGTGGACCCAGGGGTGGTAGGGGTTGAGGTGCCACTCTTTCCTGCTCTGCGAATTGGCTCTGACCCTATGTTAACACACACACACACACACACACACACACACACACACACACACACGCACACACACACGGAAAAGAGAAAAGAAAACCACACCACAGCGTTAGAAAGTTCTCTTCAAGGCACCCTTCTTCCCTCACAAATTACTTAGTTCAAATGCTTTCAGAACTCTATGAAAGACCACAGCAATGCTCAAGGAGGTGAGATCCTTGAGCCAGTGATATTTTGGGATGTATGTTAATACAGAAATTTAAAACTTCTACTTTTTCCTATTTAGTCTCATACTTCTTACTGGGAATCCTTGGAAACTATTCTTCTGTTTGTATAGTGATTGAGGCACATGGATGACTTGTAGCTAGAAATAGAATACATTTATTGAGGTACGTGGATACCTGCTTGTGGGAAGAATCCTGAATGGCACATGGATTGTTCTCTTTAAGCACATGCATTCTGAGACTCAGATGTATGCATGACACAACTGTGTATTTATTTCTCATAGTTTTATCCTGTGTGGGTTTCAGTGTTCATCTCTCAGTTTTTATTGAGAGCACAGATAGTTCCAAACTAACACATTTAATAAGAGGGTTTTATTATACCAACATCCCTATCTCAACTGAATCCAGCATTACACATGTTCCTTTCTCTCTGAGTTCATGAGATTCCTTCATGAGAATTGTTCCCTTCAAGTCTTTTTAGAGGTTACATAAATGCCAGGGCATTCCTGTGTATAGTCAAGGAGATGTCAGGCAAACAGAGGGTGAACTGCTTGCCTTTTTAATTGCCTATGTATGTTTTGCTATTGCTGTACAGAGCTAAAATAGGGCTAATAATTGTAGATGTCAATATGTCGGTTATAATCACTATCAAGAGACATCGTTCAGTAGACTTGTGAACAAAGTGACACCATCAAGCGACACAGAGCCATAGACTTGTAAGCAAAGTAAAGGTAGAAAGTCACAACAGCGCTGGCTCAGGGCATTTTTAAAAGCAGTTTATATAGAAACGCCTCTTAAAGCAAAGAGCAGGGTGGCTCAAAGAAACGAATTTATGTAGAAATGCCATTTTGCTTCCATAGCAACACATACAGGCATTAATTTAAGATGTTCCTCTGGGGAACACTTGATGCTTTTGTTTTTTCTTGCCCTCTGCTGGGTTCTTGTTTATGTCCAATTCCAACCTTAAATATTTGGAATTAAATACACTCCCCTAGAGATTATCAGCTCTTAAATGTTCTTCCTGCTACTTTTTACCACAACAGTTTACTTTTGTATTGGTAAGAGTTTTAAGGTTTTCAAAGTGTTTTTAGCATAGACTTCAAAGGATGCTAATATTTCATAAAATTAAATGGTGCTATAACATTTTCACTGTAGACAAAACTACTAAGTATCATGTATGATAGTTAAGTCTGCATAGGGCAATTATTAATAAAATTTTTGAAAGCAAATGTTGAGCTAAAATCAGCTACAATGTGACAGTAGTGGCAGTTTCCATCATTATACACTAGTTCTTAAATTACAGAGATGTGGGTCTCCATACAGTTTGATAGAGCATTTCTCTATTATTGTTTCCTCCAAATCAATGTTAAGGTTTTAAAACACATTGTGAAGTTTTTCAGTGGGCTGAAGACTCAATCCATCCAGGTATTAGCTGCGCGGCATCTGATAGGTTATCCTCTCTGTTAGGTTAGTTGCTTGTCATTGAATTGAGGCTGCTAGCAAATAACTCTCAGAATAGTTAACTCAAGTGTTAACAGCTTCGTATCAAATCTGTGCTAAAATCAGTAGCTATTTTCATTGAATAGAAAAATGGGGTAACAAGCTGATACAGGATTTACTAGATAGCAACAATGTAAACTACAGTGTAATGACTGGAACATTATACAGACCACACAGATTGCTATAATTGATTATGGGCCAGAAACGAAAAGGAATTGAAGATATCATACAGAAAGTATCATGTTAAAGGTCATTTGACATAAAAATTCCTAAGAAATTGAGCAGAATTTTCTTTTTTTCTTTGCATGTGTGCTTGTGAATATGCTGTGGGTGCAGAAGTCTGAGGTCGGCATCAGCTGTCTTTATTGTTCACCACGTTACATTTTGAATCAGGGTCTCTTGCTGAACTTGGATCTCACAGATTGGTTGAGCTTCATGGCTCAGGGACCCTCCTGCCCAACTCATGGCCGGGCTTACAGATGCCCAGCACTGTACCCAGTTTTACACCAGGGCTAGGGAGACTATTGCCATTTCTCCCATCACTTGTTTTGTCTCAAAGTATTTTCTGGAACAATCTACAATTTAGATTTTTCTAATTCTTATCTATGCAGACCGTATCTTTTTAAATACACATTTTACCTAAATGCTACAAAATTAAATGAACATCTCTTTAAATGAATGGATTAGACAACGATTAAAGGGAAGCTGACTAGGATAACCTACTGGTGGTCCGTCGTGCGGAAGAGATGGAGCTGTTCAGAGAGAACGAGTTCTCCTCCCTGTCTCCTGATACGCCCCTGCGAGGAGGGAGGATGGAGGACGGTCTTGGGAGGGAAGAACGCTTTTCTGGACTCTTGGTTACTCCATCCTGATTAGGGAGAACAAAGATGTTAGGTTCATTTTAATTATGCAAGGTGATTACACTGCCTTGTTTTTTTCCTGGTAGATAAATTCTTTTATTAAAAACCACCAACTTTCACATATTAATAAAACTTACTATGTCCTTAGAGTTCATATTTACCAAGTTGTTCTACCAGAGTTTATAATCCTGATGTGACACAATTGTAAATGAGTCATGAACTTCAGTTTTTAGGCAAGAATGCAGATGGAATGAACTTATAAAAGTTATCTTTATAAATTGCTAATTAGGCCAAAAGCTTATTAGCACAACTTTTTTTGTCAGAATGGACTGGAAGGAGGGTTTTTCAGTATAACATTCTCCTGTGAGCACAGTCACCTGTCCTCTAGGTATGTGACAGGAACTCAAGCATACCATATAAAGTTATAATGTCACTCTCACTGTAAAATATTATGCATGCTTTAAGGCTGAGGAAATTGCATAATGTAATGCAATTTTTTTAAATCCCAGATTTGTCTGTGTCAGAGACAGTAATGAATGCTGATGTGTCTGATGGGAGTCTAAGTGTCACACTGAATATGGCTTGCTGTTATTAGACTATATATTATCTATCCAATATGTTGTATATGAAACACATCCCAATGAAGTGCATTTTATTGTGTTGGCTTTAGTTGATGTTTCATACAATAAATAAATAGGAAATAAATAATGAATAGGATCTAGAAGTAGGAAACTTTTGTGTTTCTTTTCTGACATGGAGGCTGTCCATCAAAACTTTGTTTTTCAGTTGTATTTGTTATGAATATGGTCTACTGTTAAGACTGTGAAAGACTTCTGGATTTTACATCTGTCCTTTCATAGATTTTTCTGAGTCATGGTGTATAATGTCCTCTCGGATTTATTCCTTTCTGCACCATTTATTGACCTTTTTATGGATTTTATGTTTGAGGACCCCACACAATCTGCAGGTTCTCCAGTTATGCTGTAGTTAGAAAGTGTCATGGGCACCTGCAGAAATTGCTCCTCTAATAAGTGTAGCCTTTATGATGGTAATATCACCCATAACTTTATCATGTCTTAAGAATCTTGGAGAAACACATAATTGAGGCCCAGTTATGGGACTTAAAGATTAAGGAAATTCAGTTTTGTATTTCTGTATTAACCAGAAAAAAATTCAAGAATTATAATATGAGATCGCCTTAGGAGAAAACGCAAACTGGCCAAGCTGTTTTATTCACTTAAATGACTTCTGTGGATAAACCACAGCCGTGTAATATGTTATGAATCTGACAAAGGCAATTGGCATTAAGGAGATTACCAATTAAAAACCCACAGGAGTTAATGTACAGATAAGGATAAATCCTAGGGAGACTGCATGCAAGGCAAAGTGGGTTGGATTAGTGGTTCTGATGGAGGCTATGCTGAAGGCCACATGTCCCCTGGAAGATAGGAGTGACCAAGCACAAGAGATTACTTCAAATAATTACTTTGACTTGGCTGTTATAAAAATAGAAGATGAAACTGAGATTTTCATCTGAAGCTTTAACTCTGCAGACACTTCTGTGGAGACATAAGCTTACACAGATGCACATTTCTCCCCTTCCTCCGTGGTACCAGCACCTTGAGTGGGAAGTGTAATTGGGTTAGCACAAGTCATTATTTCTTGATTGATCTTGCCAGAAAAGAGTGACTTTAAAAAATGTATTCAGGAAAGAAAAATGAAGTGACAACATTGCTTCTAATTAATAATGAGACAAGCACTGGTAGTAAGCATACAACCACCCAAAATCTAAACAAAATAAAGGAAGGGGTTGGTGATCTTACAAATGAAGAGCAGCTGAAAACTCTGAGTTAGACTGAGTTATTAGCAGTAAATCCAATAAGAGGTAATATGAGCATTTAGGAAAGTGTAAAGAAGTACATTAGGAGGGGAAAATGATAAATCAAAAACAGAAACAATAGAGTAAATCTTTCTTTAGACACATGAAATACATGACATTTGGAAGGGCAAACATTAGCTTTATGGCAATAATGTACATAGCATCTGTTCAAAGTTAAGTATTAAAAGCCAATCCCATGAGTTTCTTGGACATGAAGAGATGTCAAAATTTCCTGAATTTTTTCCAAATAATGTTCATTTGAAACTTTTCCTAAGTGGGAAATTCTCTGACTTATTTTCTATATCTGTGACTGAAATTTTCTACATTTTAAAAATAATATAGTATCAACTAATAATTAATCCTATTTAATGAATATTAAATGACTACTGTATCTAGATAGTATACTGTTTTATAAAATTACTCTGCTTAATTATTTTCCCAACTCAATTATTTATACAGGAAATTTAGAAAATTAAGATATAGGAATAAATGATCACATACTAAAAATGCCTAGGATTCAGACATGATAACATACTAGGGTTTTAAATAAAATCAGAAATAGACAATAGAGATACAAATATCATTAACACATTGCACTCAAAGTATAGCGCCATAGTTACTAAGCAATGAGTTATATTACCTACCATTTATTAAGGCATGTGTCTAATGTATAAGTGCTCATATAAACATTGAATTTCTCCCATTGTCAAATAAAGTCCCTCAGTTTGAGATGGTTATTAAAAATTTTGCCAGTATTTGAAATAAAAGTATTAATAACAATGTGGAAGTGTAAAGTATCACCATGTTTGATAAGCTAAAAACTGTGATTTAAATATCATATATGATTGTGGGGACCCCAAAATTACCTCATAATCTACATATTGAAATCATTCAAGCTGCTCATTATAAATTTAGGATTTCATTAGTATACCTTTAGTTTCTTTTCTTCCAGTCATAAAAAGGACAAAATGCTTCATGTCGGTTTCTGTCTTTTAAAAACACAGTTGATGACATAAAAGTAATTTAAGAAGGAAAAGATAGGTGGGATTGATATACATATAAAATAGCTAATCAGTAGAGTCACATCTAAATGACACTCTATTACCATAATTGAGCAAATAAACAACAATGTGATTTTGATAATACGGAGCACTAACTTTAAAATACAATATTTTCTGTAACAAATAATTTCAGTAAGAGAAGACTTTCCTAAGGAAATGCACTGGCTCAAAAGACCTCAATAGTAATATAATCAAAATGTCAACAGGAAGTGGCTTGAAAGCAAGATAACAGGAAACTGATTACGTTAATAGAATGCAATGTCATGTTGCCATTAAGATGGTTATAAAGAATGCTTTCATTTAATTAAAAATCAATACACGGTGTTTTAATTTTGATTACTAAACCTATAAAAGTAGGGAAAAATAAAAACTTCTTAAAAATCAAAATGGTAACTGTAGCCATCTTCAGTGAAATGAATTACACTTAATTTTATTTCCTGCTCATGTATATAGTTCCTAAAATTTCAGAATGTAAAAATACTATGTTAATGATCAAGGCTAAAGTTGGTTTTACAGAATGTAAGTGGGTTGTTCTTCCCTATTGTTGCCCAGTAACTCATTGTGCATTTTTCTGTGTTTTATCTTGGTAACAGAGAGCAAGCACAACTGTGTCCTCACCAACTACCATGATTTATCATTCTAGATTATGGCAATTTTTTGTGTGTGTGCTGCAGAGATCATGCTGGGTGAGCCAGCCGTATAACATGGACATTTAGAAATAAGTACAATTGTCTACATGATACCTAAATTTTGTAAGACACTGAATGACCCCTGAAGGTAGAGTAAAGGACAAGAACAGACTTGGTTTACTCACAGTGACTTTGTCCTTCGCCTGTTTAAGTGCACTGGGAGCCTGAGCTGATTCACCACCAGCTGCTGTTGAAAAGAAACAAACAATTAAGTGGCTAAAACTCACATAGACATGTTTTTCAGTACCTGAGGGGTTCTAGTATGTCATGAGACTAAGCCAAAGTACAATTTCTCACTTTTGAGGCTCAAATTCAGTAATCAAAGAAAATTGGGTAATAGTAATGCATAATGTCTCTCCAACTACAGTGTGCATGAATTAACTTAAACTGGAGTCTACCAAAGTACAAGGGAGAACAGCACACACACTCATTATCTATGAGACATCAAGGTACTTTGGAGTATCTACTGTCTACACAAAGAATCTTTAGGTCGAGAGGCACAGACATTGAGGCAAATGTCGCTTAGTGTAAAGGAAAGGAAGCTGATTGGTTCTCTGGATTGGTATGATACAGAAATGTCCAACCGTCCTGTTCTAGAAGCAACCCATTGGCTTACATTGAGGTCCTTCTGCATTTTATCTCCCAGGCTGTCATGATAAGCGAACCCCTTTGCCTGTGTGCCTCTTCACTTGGCAGTATGACTGACATACTTGCCTAATGTGAAAATGCACCACAAGAAGGGAAGAAAAACAACTTCTCAGGGACAGAGGGTGAGAAACTTCAAGTCCAGTAAATACGAAATGTGTTCTACGCATGCACTTCCTGTATGACACTGCTACCACATCTGTTACTGCTGTTTCTTTTGATGCTGCTGTTTGCTTCTGGTCTCAATTTTAAATTCCATCATCTCTAGCACATTTTGTGTTGACTTACCTGATTTGACTTTAATATCTCACAATATAAGATAATCCTTAGTGTTTTGAAAAATAACAGTATTTGACCAGTATCCTCAGAAGTAAAATATTCTAGTTTGTATGTTTACTTTCTCCTTAATTTTCCTAGCTAAAGACATTTTCAGGAAAAATGTAAACCTCATGTACATTCTAAAAAGGGGTTCTATGTTACGTGAGTTCTTATATCAAGACAATAGCTACCTACTGTGTGCTCTATTCTATGTAGGGCTAGCTAGGAAGACTTTTTGGAGCCTTATATTTATTTATTTATTTTTTCTCCAGGAAGCAGTGAAAATGATGTCATCCACTACTTCCATGACATATCCAAAATAAAGCAAAATGTAGTTTGCTTTAATTCAATAATTTCTAAATTTTGTATAGGCTTCTTGCTGGGGTCTCCTCGTATTTGACTAAAATAAGGGGAGACCCTAGTTAGTCTCCAATTTAAATTTTCTTTAAAGAATAAACATAATGAGGGAAATGAAGTGAGTGCCCTTGACATGCAGGCATGCCACACAAACTATTTACAAACTATTTTGTATTTCCTCTCAATTTTCACAATCCGGGTAGTATTTTTAACTTTCCAGGTAGAATACAAAGATTCTATTTCTTTAAGTATTTGTCTGAATCAGATAAAATTTCTAAAAACTTGACAGAATCATCTAATCAAGACACAAGATGTGGAGACGGCTTGTTAATTCCTAGATGCTAACTTTGAAGAACGTGACACTAGAGCACAATGCCAAGATACAATCACGCACTGTCAGGTCTGAGTATGACAAAGAAACAGATGGTCATGACCTCTTCTGCAGGGAGGGGAAAAATGTGTGCAGTGCCCACAGAGGCTAGAAGATGGGGTTGAATCCTCTGGAAATGGAGTTATAGAAAGTTGTGAACTGAAATATGGTGGCTGGCAACCAAACTCAGGTGTTCTATAAGAGCAGTGAGTGTTTATAATAAAACCATTTCTAAAGCTCCCTTTATGATGATTTCTACTATGTTTCATTCTTTTGTTCTACTAGATTTTTAGTTTATAGATGTGTACATTTGCGAGGGACAGAAATAAGTAGGTGATAAACAGAAGTGTCTCTCCTCTCTCTCTCTTATGTTAACATCTCTCAGTGTAGCCCAGGCTGGACTCACACTGGAAGTCTACCTAGAGAGCCAGCTGACTTTTTCTCCCAGTGCTGAGATAATAGAAAATGTGCTTATTTCTAATTTAATTAACTCCTAAGGGAGGGGAGTTTTAACTTAGTATTCTGTATGTTGAATTACATAAGAACATTTGACAGTTCGGATCAATAACTTTAAGAAAATCCCAAAGATGAAGTACAGGAGGTTGAAAGGTATTCATGTTGGACTTGAGGAATAAAATCTGATAGGATACACATCTTTTCCTTTCTTTCTTTCTTCTTTTTTTTCCATCTAAAGCAAAATAATCTTGGAAAGTCAATATACATTGTCTCAGTAAAGTCAACACCAGTAACAGATTTGGCAGTAACAATAGAGAAAATAGGACAAATATACATGGATTTAAGCATGGAGGAGATAAATAAGCAAAATAATGCGAATGCATACCACGGTTAAATTCATCGCCATCGTCTAACCAAACACACAGAATGAAAATAGGGATCCCCAGAACGTGACACTAGAGCACAATGCCAAGATACAATCACGCACTGTTATGTCTGAGCATGACAAAGAAACAGATGGTCATGACCTCTTCTGCAGGGAGGGGGAAAAAAAGAATAATGAAACAAGACACTTAATAGCGAAATTGTTCATGATTGCTGAGATTTGGAAGTAAAACAAAATGAAGAAACTTCTACAGTAATGAGATTAAAAAAAATACACATCTATGTTTGCCAGCCACATTGCAGAATTGAACAGTCACCTGTGGTTTTCCGCTTAACACAGGAGAGATGAGTTGGTCTAGTGTATTTGATAGCAGGTTTTAAAATGAATTTCCTGGAAGGAGAGTGGGCCTGAACTTCTGTTTTTTTAGCAAGTTCAGCCTTCTTATAAACTGCTATGAATAAGAAAACACAAAACAGCATACCATCAGGAAAGAAAATAAACACTTGTAACAAAAATGAACAAATTTTTTTTATAAGTAACCAGTAAGGCAGTTGCTTCAGTAGAGTAATAATAAATTAATAAAAAACACATTTTAAAAGAAGTGATTGTTAAATGAACCTTTTTTCCTTCTCACTTCATCTCTGGAGACCGTGCTAGGTTCCTTTTTAGCTACTTTTCTTTCAGGGGTGGAAATTCTGCCTCTCCCGGTTTTAAAGGGTTTTTCTTTTCTATGTTTCTCGAGAGATGGTCTCCGAGCTTCCTTCTCGGCTTTCTCCTCTTTAGGAATAGTGTCTAACTGTTCTGTCATGATGCTTCTATCATCATCTGCGGATCAAAGCAAACCATGGCAACAAGAACAGTGAGAACATTAGTGACAGATGCACAAAAGCCTTCATATACTTATCACAATGTAATGTAAATAGAGAACTCTCTTTTCGTTAATGTTTAAAGTGAAAAACCCAACTCCCCACTAGGCTATGGGTTTTATTTGGGAGAAGACTGAAAAAAGAAGCACACCTTGAGTGTCCACCCACAGGCTGTCAGCATCCATGATGGAGTCATCAATGGTGGTCTCGTCTTTGTAATCGTCGTAGGTTTCTGTTTTATATTCTGAGAATGCAACCTCTTCTCTCTCCGGTGTAGCTGGGGCATCTGGAGATCCATCCTTGGGTTCTGCCTGGGCTTCTGCTGCCATCTCTACTTCAAGCTCTTCATCGTGAGGACGCGGTCTCCTTTCTTCCTCAGGTTGAGCTAGAGCTGCAAAGCGCACACTATGGGACCCTGACTCCCCTTCATCGGTTGTGGTTTGCACTACAGTGATGAAATCATCCTCGATGGTCACCACAGACTCAATCACACCTTTGTGCTCACCTGGGCAGGTCTCCACAAATTCCTCCCTACTTCCGGGGACAACCAGGTCGGTAATCTGAAGGGTGTCTGAGCGGAAGAGCAGTTTGTCATATTCTCCCCCAGCTTCGATCTCTTCCTCACTTGGGACCTCTGCTGGTTCAGACACAATTGCTTCAGGCTGTGGCTGGGTGACATCGGAAGGTATGGCGGGTATATCCGGAGTCTCAGTGCTTTCTTCCTTCGGCAGCTGAATGAATTCCATTTGGACCTCAGCCTTCTCATCAGTGGATAAGTCAGCCTCTGAAACAGGGGGCGGGCAAGGGATTTCCACAGACAGTTTGAGGGCAACTTCATCTTGAATCAGAGATGACTCCGGAGAGGTTTCCTTTTTGCCCTCATCGGGCTTCAGGGACTCCATGGTGAGGCTCTCATGTTCACCACTAGATTCATAGGACTCTTCCTTGTCTACAGCCTCCTGATGTACCAGGTCAGGCTTTGCCACCTTCTCTTTGACTTCTGTTTCATTGACTTTGGCACCTTCTTTCATGTGGCCAGACTCAACACCCATGAATGAATCCTCTTCTTGAGGTTCTTTGGACGAGAGGGCCAGCTCTGGAGACATCTCGAACTTGAGCTCTGTGGCCTTTCCAGCGTCTACATTCATCCCTGAAGCCATCTGTCCATAGTCACTGACTTTTATATCTAACTGACTTGGCTCAGCTTTCTTTGCAGCAAAATCTAGCCCTTGATCGGCTTTTGTGGTTGGTTCCACCTCAGCTACCTCAGGCACCGAACTAAGACCTTTTTCTGCTTTCTCAGGTGATGTATCTTCAGCTGTTGTCAGTTCTTTGATGGAGGCCTGCTCACAGGTTACACCTAATCCGAAGAGATCCACCTTCTCACCGCCCTCCTCAGTCTCCTTGGCATGTTCCTTTGATTCAACATGCTCTTCACTCTTTTCGAGGACCGTATCCAGTTTGTCATTAGCTTTCCTGTCATGGTCAAGCTCCCTACTCAGTCCTGATTTGTCAGCAGGAGTGGGTGCAGACGGCTCATTCTCAGCAGGAAACTCATCTTTGACTCTTCCAGCAGCTGCAAGTTTTACCTCAATCAGTGAAAGGTCTGTCGCCAAATCTCTGCGGACTTTGTCATCGGTTCCTTCATAAAACGAACCACTCTCTCCCGACAAATTCTCACTGTCTTGAACTGGTGATGGCAGAGGGACTGTGTATTTATTGAACACACAGTATCCCATGTCTTCAAGTTGACTGTCTGGTTTTACAGCGGCTTGGCTTTCATCAGCAACAGGTGGCAAGCCAGTACTACTCTCTGCAACCACAGCCTCTGATGGGACTGATTTTCTCCTGGCAACCTCAGCTTCTGCACTCACAGAAGCTAATCTGGACCTGGTTCCTGCCAGATCGAGCATCTCAGGCAGGTCAGGGGCCATGACGGTACCATTTTTGTAATACTCTTTGGCTGGGAAGGGTGACTCAGAGGGTGTCTCAACTTGGATAGTTTGCTCTCCGGTCACTTTTGCTTCCTCTGCCTTCTCCTCTTCCTCTTTGCTCTCTATTGGAAAGCAAGGGACTTTCTCCACTGCAGGTGTGGTGGGGGGAAGATAGTCATCTCCTTCATCCATGCTTCCACTAGTGTTAGTTAGAATATCAGAAGCCAGAGGGGAAAGATCATGGCCCCGGCCGAAGTTAAACCCAAGGGCAATGGAATCGAGACAAGACATAGGCAGGTTGATGGACATGCTTCTTTGTTCTATTGCAGACCTACCACCAAGCCCTAAACTTCGACTAAGTGTCAGATCATCCTTGTTCTTGCTGTGGAGGTCCCTTTTCTCCCCATAAACTTTGGGGTCAATAGTGAACATTCTTTCCTGAGGAGAACTTGGTTCTTCAGGTAACTCGTCAGATGGGTAACTCCGGGCAAGAGTGCTGTAGCCTGTTTCCTGTGTTGGAGCACTGGGCTGGGATTCTTTTGCCTGAACTTCCTTTTCACCGTCTTGGTGTTTGGGAGATCCAGTATCAGCAGATTCTTGGGCACTTCCTCTTGCATCACTCAGTTCATAGTAATCGCTGCCCAACTCTTTGCTTTTTGTCACTTCTTCCTTCAATGCAGATGTCTCAAAGTACTTGGACATTCCTGACTTATCTTCATAAAACGGCATGCCAACCTCAGCTACTGTTGCAGACCCAACTCCTTCGAACTTATCTTTGACAGCTGTGTTCTCCTCAAAAAGTCCCTGGGTTTCTCTCATTTCAGGAACTGCCTCTGACTCAGGTGTAACTTTTTCCAAGGTCCCAAAGGTCATGGCTGCATCTGAAAGGGCTTGTTCCAGACTTACAGGGAAGGAGTCTTGTTTTAGCTCATCTGCTACCTGTTCCTGGCCTTTCTGTTCTTCTTTGGAAAAAGAATGCTCAGTGGAGGTCTGAAGTACACCTGCTTCATCCTCTCTCAGTTTGGGGAGTTCATGTTCTTTTGCCACAGCTTCTTCAATGGGAACCACTAATTTCTCTTCAAGTTTTGCCTGTGGTTCATTTTCAGTGAGCGTAGGTTCCTGTCTGCCGGGGGTTGAAGTTTCCTTTTTCTCTTGATTTGTGGCACCCTTTTCTTCCCCTGAAACACCCTCTCCGACATAGCCTTCCATAACTGGACTATGAGTATCTTTGGGCAAGGTGGCAGCTTCTGACACTGGAACATCTGCCACGTTGTCTGCTTTATCTTTCTGTAGCACATCATCTCTAGAACTATCCTTGGTAGTAGCTAGGTCACTGGTGCCCTGCAGAGATGTTTTGTCATCTGGTTGGAAGAAGACAGGAACCAATGGTTGTGATGCTTCTGTGACTATTTCATTCTTTATCATATCTAAAGGAAGAGCGAAGCTTCCACCATGAAAGGGACTTGGCATGGGAGAATCAAACTGCTTCCCTTCCCATCTCGGGATATCTTCCAGCACATCTTTTTCCCTCATCGGTGTCAGGGGGCCAGGAGATATTGGGGCAGCTAAGCCCCATTCATCTTTCTTCGGTTCCATCGGCATTTCAATAAACCAGTCTTTCTGATCTTTCGGAGCTGGAGGCTCTGCAGAGAGGCCAATGCTAGGTACTGTTATGCTTGGTTCTGTATTCTGCTTTATGTCTTCCAGGTTGGTACCAAAAGTGTGCCCAAGTGGAATGGGAGGTGACATTTCCCCTTCTGTGCCCTGGAGATCCTTTTTATCTTGGGGAGTTTTAGTTGTCTCCGGCTGAGGAACTAAGGCAGCATGTTCAAAGTCTTCACCAGGCTTACTTTGCATCTCCATCTCCTTTTCTCCCTTGTCTAAAGGCTCAGTGAGAGAGGAAGTCATTTTCTGCTGCTCAGGGAATTCCATCTTCGAGGCTGAAAGTAAATCTGAAGTAATCGGATTGATTTTTAAACAAACAATAGGCCAACAGCTTTCGGGCAGCAAGCTTCAAGTCATACTTGAATAGGAAATGAACAAGAGGGGCAAAGGGAAGCTATGGACCATGCAGGCATGCTACCCACTGGAAAGTGAGCATGGAACGTCAGGACTGGAATCTGTATGTTCTAGTACTGAGTGACGTCCTGTTCTAAGTGAATTGTGTATGCCTTATAAAGAGTTTGCCTCAGACTGCTTATCCTTTTTGCTTATTTGGTCTCTTTAACACACTCTATGGTGTATACTAGAAGGAGAAAAGAAAAGTCATCTTCATTCTATTGATTAAAGCTGAAATTAATCCATATCAAGGATTAAATTAACAGGGTATAAGAACACATACATGAAGGATGTTAACTGAGTATTTCAAATTTTCTTACTTGAAAATAACCTGGCAGCCCATGGGGCAGATGCCAAGAAATACATAATGATTCATGTATTAGGTATTTCAGGTAAGTTGATGGAAAATTGTGAGGACCCATAAAGGGACACTAAAAGTTACTGGCATAAAGTTTTAGAAGATAGCTGAGATTAAAGTAAACATTTGCTATCAGCTTTATATACATTGATGAGCCAGTTTGTACTTAATCTGAAATTTTAATTTGCAGTCATGGCTTTTGAATTATGACAATGGAAAAATCAAAGAGCAAGACATTTTTCAAAGAGTCAACTACTACAAAATTTTTCTCCCCAGGGTCTTGACTTCATTGCCTGGACATGACCAGCTAGCAAAGCATTGGCCTCGGAAATACTTGACATCAAGTAAATGACAAGGTCTTGGTTTTATTTGCATGCCAATCCAAGTGTCTCTTTTAAATTACTTCCTGTGGTCACCAGAGCTGAGTGTAGTTATTTGAAAAGGATTTGGCATTTGGCTCGTAAAAATTTAGCCATCTCTTGAAGATGGGTCATCATGACACGATAGGGTTGTGTGTCCTGTTGTAATGAGAGCAATGAAGTAGTTTAAACTTGCAATGAAGGCTAGATGAATGAACACTCAAGCGATGCAGGCATGATAAAGGGGTTGGCTGCCCTGGAGAGACAATGACAAGAGAAGCACTGACACGGTCTCCGAAGGAAACCAAACCAGCATTTGTTGAAGCATAAAAACATAGCACTCTGCGGCTGCAAACAAAAGCGATTCTATCATTTAAGCCTGTATGTGGTAAAATCCAGCTTTAAGGATTGAAAAGAAAAGCAAATGAATTGCTGTCCCAAAACATAAAAACAAAAATATACATGTATTAGCAATGTGACTGGCAAACACTGGCGATGAGGAGGGAGGGGGTAAACCAAGAAGAGTTCACACAGCATCGTCAGCTTTCGGCAAAGCGTATTGTATCATGGCAAAGGACAACCAGCTGCAGCACGGGACAACCAAGCTCTCACAGCATCTGCGCAAGCTACAGTATCTGCTCACGAAGCCCGAAATGGTGTCTTATGGCCATGAGAAGACCCAGCGGTGGACCAGCTTTGGAAAAGCATTCGCTTGGTGAAATCCATGGCAGCGCATTTGCGGCACGCATGCAAATCCTGACAGACACACACCTTCCTTGGCAGAGGAAGGGATTTTTACATCCGGAGCCACCTCCGTGACCTCTTTTACACTTTTCTCATGCGGAGCCCCTGCCAGGGTACTGTCTTCTGGAACTATCTGCGCCTCTGTGCTAGATTCCACTTGGCCCTCACTGAGGCCCTGGGGGTGATCTGAAGTCTTAGCAGCCCCAAGCTCTTTCCCAGGAAGGGCAGCAGGTGTCTTTTCCTCAGCCATCGCACCCTCTAGCGTTTCTTCTTCTTGGGGGATGAAAAAGATGTTGACATCACGACCACAGAACAATACACGAAAGGACAGAAATATTAATCATGGAACACTTTCAGCTCCATTTGAATGACCTCTCCAGGGCATCAGAAATATTTTCCTTTTCCATCTGGATGAGCGAATTAATAACTGAATGACAGATACATTATGTACTCGCTGGAAAATGATGATGTATAATATGCAGAGAGAAATGCCTTTGAAAACTCTAATTTAAAGACTGTGTTATTTGTTTTAAAAATTGAGAGCTGAAAGAGTTTTATGGATTTCTCACCCTTAGTGAGAATGGCAGTAAGATGAGCATGTGGGGAAGGCTTGTTAGAAATTAGAGATGGTGTGGGCCAGCAGATGGTGACAGGATGGATACATTGGTGTGCTGAAAAAAAAAGTCTTCCAACTGGTTAGAGATGTGTTTTCTCCAATGCAGGAAGTCCCTACACAAGAATTCTCCATTGCTTTATTTAAAATGTGCAATCTTTGACAGACAATTTTAGGAACAAAGGAGGGTTAGCCTCAAAGTGTTACCTACTCCAGTTCTTAATGGTTTTACTGAGAAGTCTACCAGAGTACTCTAAATACTATTTCTTAGTATTTCTAAGGACATGCTGCAGCGTTAGGTCAGTTTATGTTGTCTCCATTGAATTATGTGATACTTAAGGAAAAGAAAGATGCAAAGTAAAATAACTTTTAACTTTAAAACTTTATCATTTATGAAAGTGTTTTCCCTTGAATACAATTGTTTTCATACTTCTTAAGCAGTAATAGTTCATGTATAGTTCTTTTTGACACTGAGAAAAAGTGTCCATTTTAGCAATATAATCTTACTGTGCAATTCAAAATAAAATCACCAGGGAAAGATGACTGAGTGGCATTCAGACTGCCAAAGTATCCCTCTGAAAGGTACAAATGGAAACAGTACTAGCCTTTAAGTGCAAACATCAAGCTTCTGAAAGCCAGGAATCGTTTCGTTCATTTGCTTCTCATTTATGCTTCACATGGTCACAAAAATAAGTGAGTCCATTTTATCCTTTAATAAGTTGAAGGATAAAACAAGTTAGCTATTTTAGAAGTCCACAGTGGGAAGATTCTTATGATATTTCCACAAAACAATTGGGCATTGTGCAAAAGGCCCTGTGGGAAAGACTACAGATGGAAAGGGAAGGGATTTTCTTTTTTAAGAAATATTAACCCCCTGGAGGGTGGCAGAGCTTCCTCATCTACCTTTCCACATTTACCATGCAGACATTTTGTGCCTGCAATTTAATTTTGTAAGGGATATTTTAAAAATTTCAATTATTATTATTCAGGATTTTTAAATAATGCATACATTTAATTCTAGTTAAAAACTTTAAATGTATCTTACCTCATGAAGGCCAGCTTATTAGATGAAGCCTAACCAAGTTAATTTACAAGTTTTCAGGCCCATATAATATTTTGGTGTTTCATTTTTAAATTTTGAATTAGGTATGCTTGTGTCCCTGTATCTATGTCTTAATTAAAAATTTACCACATAGTTTGATCACTTTAAGTTTACACTGTTAAAGGTACCTAGTTTTATTTAATGCTGGGAATATTTCTTAGGGTGTCAGAGCTGTTGGAACTCTTTAGTTTTCAAAATGACTTTGGGGGAATCTTACTGTCATGACTGTGGCTGGCAATCTATGAGCTGATTCCTTGCTGCCTTGGAATTGTCTGTCCTTGTACCCTTACAACCATGCATTGTCTCGCATGAAAACGAGAGCTCTTCTGCATGCAGCAAGTCATTGTTCTGACCCGAAAATATTTGTCTGAGCAAAATATTTTAGCTGCAATTTCTTCTTTATGAAAGCCCCTAGTTAAAAGTGGGACAGACAGCAGCCCACCTCCCACTAAATTTCATTCTCATGATAGTCAATTATACACAGGTAGCTCATCTTTACGGGACAAAGACTCTGAGGCACAGCCTTACTATTAGCCCAGCTCTGCTTTGGTGAGCTGAGAACAGCTACCTGAGAACCTCCCACAGTTTCCCATTAATTGCTATGCAGTCATAAATTCATCCCAGAACATTTATTCTGCTCTAAGTAGGTTCTTTATTATTTCTTTTCAAAGAACAAGCATATGAATATAGTTGTATAAAGGTGACTTCCATTTAAGACTGGTCCTAATAATTCGTCCATATCTAAAGAGGAAAATAAACATTAGGGTCATCTTCTTCAGTTTAGGTAAATAACATGTTCTTACCGAATAATTTATTTACAAGGAACAAAAAAGGAGTCATGCTTTAATTGCATTATTTCTTGTTCCTTTTTCTTCTCCCTTCTCATCTCATAAGAACAGTAATGCAAAAGTAATGTATAAAAGGAAATGTTTGTTTCACGCAACAAATTTCTTTCATATAAATTTTGAGGTGTTTCATTGGAAAACTCTTATCTAGGGACTTCACTGACATGTGGACAAAACAAGCTTATGCCCACCCACCGCCCGCACGAAAGCACACTGAACATGATGTATGTGGGCAGAGCTGCAGGCTGGGAGGAGGAGCCAAAGGGCGCCATGCTCCTGTTCACCTTTCTCCTGGCCTAAGTGGGCCTCTGCGCTCTGCGCTGTGACACTGGGGAGCACACTAGTCCATTCTGAGCTGAACAAGGGGTGCTCATAGTACTCCTCATCCGAATTGTGAGGCTCATCATCAGGCACAGACACGGAGATGGAGGGGGCTAGAAGCCTACGCCTCTCCCCGCTGCTGGCAGGTTCATGGCTGGGGAACCTGTGTAGAGGACCCACTTGGTCCTCAGGCCCTTCATCTACAAACAGACACACAGGAAGAAACTGCAGGGAGAACTGGACAAGACAGACGTGAGATCACACAGACGAGACAGACACCTACAGGAGGACACGAAGGGTCACCGAAGCAGCACAGCAGGATGGAAGGGGCTCAGACAAACGGAGTCGATGAAGGATGGAGACAATGACCGAACTGGGCATGCTTTTTTGGGTATTTAAACTACTGTTTAAGAAATTTTGTTATTGATCTAAGAGAATAAGAGACATTGACACCCTCTGCTGCGAAATAGAAATTATCTGTGCATTTTTCTACGGTAATCCAGAATAAGCAAGGAAATATTGGAACAGAAAGAAACCATCACAAAAGGAATGCATTCTTTCAAAGAAATTCCTTCCTGAAGGCAAATTCTTAGTTGTACATGAATACAATTAGAAATTAAGAGCGAGAAACATTGTCAGGGTATCACGTCTGCTCAGTTACTGAGAAAAAAGGCTGCTGTTTGAAACTGTGATCATCTAGTCATGTACAAATACTTAAAATTTTGGTTAATTTAAGTTTTAGTTAATGATTTCAACCAGAAAATAATATAGTTCCTTATGTTCACATAGTAGATTAGTCCCCTTGGGGACATCTGGACTCTCCTATGAGTCAATGAGCTCTAGGAACCTGTAGGGTGTGCCCCGTTTGGCTTTTGATGCAGTCCTCGTCTTTCAGAATTATGTCCATGTTACTCAGGTATTCACTCATCACTATTACTTACATCTAGATCCAAGTTAAAGCCTGTCACCCTCAACAACAGAAACAACACTTATAATATTTCTCTGTGCATTGTTAACCTTTCAGTTTTCAGACTTTATACAACCAGTCTTCTGGCCTTATTTCGCAAATGCACTGCAATTCAGGGACTGTAACTGTTTTTCATTAACCAAGTACTGGCAACTGGAAAGAAATTTGAAAGCATGAGTATATTAAGAATAACACACTACAGAGAGAATGCTTTTAGCCCTTAGCATATTAGTTACTAGCATGCTAGTTATTGATAGTAGCTGAGCAGGTAACTTCAGGGTCTGTTCTGCAGCAGAGACTAGACTGTAGATCTGGGCTTGTGATTTGTTCTTGTCAGTCACATGTTCCCCAGTGACTCTCAGACCTATCATGCATGCAAAATTACTTATAAAATGTCTAACTTGCTCAACTGATTTCTTGCACTGTCAAGTAAGTAAAAATGAGATACATATTTCTCTGCTTTCCAACATTTGCTTTCTGGGAAACAGAAAAGATTACAATACAAAGGGGATATTGAGGGCTGAGAGCTATGGTAAGAAGGTACTGGGTTCTTCCTTCAGTCTTCCAGAGCATTTGGCCTCCTGTTTTCATCATTGTTCTAAGGGCTAAGACATAAAAGCAGCTCAGAGACCTCTAACATCTCACAAGAAGTGGCATTTTTCTAATGTGAAAACTTTTGCTATAATCCTAGAATGGCAGAACCATTTGTGGGAACTTCAGTGTCCCAAGTGAAAAGGCCATTTCTCCTTAGTCTTTGTCTCTTCACTCAAAAAGGATAGCTGACCAAGTCCAGACATCTCCTGGGACTCTGTGCTCTAAGAATTTCAAGTTTCTGCTCAGAACTTGTTAGCAAAGACCATCTATGATGCAACCTCCAGAGATACATCAGAAAGTTGTATGCTGCGGTTGACTAAGTCAGAATAGTGTAGGAGTCTCGGGAGGAGGGTGTGTTTGTTTGTGTGTGTATGGTGTATGGACGGGGGTGGGGGGGTGGTGGTGGTGGTGACGGACAGAGGACTATCGAGTCTCATTAGTTGCAGAGATGAAATGCTTTTGGTTTTCACCCATTTGGGCTGGATAATTAATTAAAAATAAATAAATAAACAAATAAATAAAAATAAATAAGGAATGGAATATGTATTTGGGAGAAGTTTGTAGAAATCCACATAAGAATAGTAGCTTGTAACAGAACTCTTGTCTGAAGGCAATTGACTTTCATAGTCCTATTATTAATAACCCTGAGAACACAGCTTTAGAGCGTTCTGAGTTGGAAGACTCAGATTTAGATAAAAATTCTAGCCGAGTCATTTATCCAGATGTAAACAATGATATCATTGACAAAACATGTAAATCTCTATCTCTGTGGGTTGCTGGATGAAATAAGTGATTAGTTATTTGTAAAACTGTCAAGAATAATGTGTAACTATACAACATATCCTATTTAACTGTGTATACTCCCGCGCACATGGGTGCACACACAAATGCCTACAGCTGCAATGCACACTATGGCATATGTGTGAACATCAGTGAGCAATGTAGTTCTCTCCTTCCACACTTGGCTCCTTGGGATCAGACTCAGGTTTTCGGGCCGGGGAACAATTGCCCTTTACCAGATGAACCATTGTACTGAGCCTGCAGATGACCACATACATGTCTGTGTGGTGTCTTCCATACGCTCAGTTTCAGGGTTTCTCCTTTACCTTAATTTGACATTTGATTTTGGAGTTGAGAAACTTAGGGAAACTATGAATTTATTTTATAAGCTACTTTCATGGCTTAGGGTATCAACTGAATGCATTCATCCTTTATTATAAGTAAACATGCTTTGGGAACTTTTTTTAGTCACAAAACAATCAATTTCATTTAACAAGTTACATATAAAAGGATATGATCACCTTGTGAATCCTGACCTTTTTACATAACTCTTTGCATAACTACAGACTTTGGAAATGAAATTCAGCTGGTTTTGACAGGAATATATTCTTTCTAGTTTGCTTTTACTTAAACTTTTTATTAACACATTTAAAAATCTTATGTTGGGCAAAAGGAAGAGTTGTTATTCCAAACTCAGCCTTGGTTGGTCAGACCCTTTGGGAACAAATTTGCAGTCATGTTTCTGAGACTCTAGTTCTCAAGGAATGTCAAGGACTAATTATTGTTGTTCATTCATGACACACAACAGCAGGCAGCTGACTCCACTTAAAAGTTTTCTCCATCATCTTTCTCCACTTCACAAGTTTTTGATCAAAGATTCCTCTGTGTCCCAGTGGTTACTGCTACCCCCAAAACACTCTAGAAGATTTCTGGATTAACCTAACAAAGCATAAAGACCTCTGGTTCAGATTATTCTATTATACTTGCACAGACTTCCATATTCTAACAGCTCAGTCAAAATGACAATTGTTATGGCTAGACCAAGCAAAGAGGAAAGGTGGTGAGAAAACATTCTAATAGAACCCTTCGTAACAGACAGTGGTTTACTCCTAGGTGAGCTACCTGTTAATTTTTTTTCAATAAAACTTCTTCTAGATATTTCACCAAATAAGGACACATTCTGGGATATACTAATATTCAATTAATTGTAATAAATGGATGGTTTTAAAGTGATGAGTGCCCTTTCCCTTTGGGAAAGAATGTTTTTTTTTAAATGTCTGTTAAGAAGGAGGTTCTTAGAACCACCCATTTACTCAACTTGAATCCAAGCTTTCTTCCATTTGTATAAAAGGGTCATACTGTGGCTGTTCCTATGCCCTCAAAAATGTTGGGTGAGTTTGTGTCCTGGAAGCAAAAGTTTTTCTTAGACAAAGCAATGAAGCCTACCTGTTCCCTTTCTCAGGAGACCTGCTGTTAGTAGTACACCAGCCTGGTTCTTTAGTAACTCATTGAAAACTTGATTAAGAAACTGAACAGTGTCTGTTATCTTGTACCTTGTCACTGGCTTTTTTAAAAAATGAACTATTTTCTTTAATTGTTATTTGTTGAACATTGATTTTATTGGGGTTTGAGATAAAGGATCAATAGAACTTTACCTTGACCACATCTTTCACACATTAAAGTTGAAGATTATCATGTGCCATTTAAATTAATAATGTAGGAGTTATAAAATGTACACATGTATCTTTTCATATAACTTGAAAGGAGGTGGTCTATCATTAGATCTTGAGGTACCTTAACGTCTCTTTGGAAAAAAATGGAAAACACAAATTAAGGTTTGAAAATAACTATGAATTATTTGCAATGAGAAGCAAGCCAGCATCTGAATATACTAGACAAGTGTGGGGAAGGAAATCCTTTACATTCTGAGGTGAATCCATGTCTTATTTAGTCATATTTTCACTGTTTGCATTGTGTTTTCTGTAAGGAAGAGACCAGGTGGATCTCAGATAGATGGGAGGAGTCTACTGCCTTTGCTGGTACAGTTCCCATGGAGTAAGAGGAGTCAATAAATGAACCTTGAGCTGAATTTTGGAGTGGGCCAGCTCTGCAAACATCATAGTCCTTTCTGGGTCAAGTGGATTCTTGGGCACTTTAATGGTTTTAAGTGGGAGCTCAGAAGCACTTCCATCAGCCTCAGAGAAGTACAACTGTCAGGCAGAGCTTCCTCTGCATCTAGTAGGAAATGAATGAAATCTAGGCCTTTGGCCTGGGCTAGCTTTTACACTATTTCCTTCCTTTTCCCTTTTCTCACTACCTGTCAGCCATGGTTCCTTGTCCTAGAGCACAGCATCTTTCCATCTATCTGTGTGTGTTTGTGCATCCTGCTCCCTCTGCCCCACCTCTTCCCTCCGTGTCTATCAATATTTCCTCTTATTTTGGAAGTAGCAATACAATAAAAGAAGGATCCTGTTGCTGCTTTATCAGAATCTGTTGACCTTTCCCTTCCTGGAGGTAATCCTCTTGAACTACTTGTAAGTGTATTTATTACATTCTTGTTCACTGTGCAGTTTGTCCTTTGAAAGCAGGGATTATGTTTGTTTTGTTCTCAAGCATTTGCTCAGAATTTGAAAAGTTTCTGGGACATGATAGGTGCTCAGGAAATACAGGCCAGATGACAGGAAAAGTGTACGGCCAAAGAGAATCTTTCAGATATATGAATGATACTATAAACTACATTTAAGGAGATTAACTAATATCCAATTCTGTTACACACTAATTAGAGTTGTTAATTTTTTTCATAGAATGATTTGTTTTATGTTATTTCAGGTATCAGATTAGGAGGGAGGCAGTTTAATTAAGAAAAGGCTTGCTACAAAGAAAAGATGTTGCTTATAAATTTGGAACTAAAAAACTGTCTCAGAGCTAATAGTATGCAGGTGAGTAATTTGTCTTTCTGTATTTAGGAAATATTGAAATGAATCAGATTATTAATTATAACATGATACATACTTAACAGTGATGTTATTTATCTTTTACACAGCAAATGATCTCTGAAGTAACAACAAAAAGAAAAGTAAATGAAGGAGAAAAATGAATAAAATGGCCTTCATGCATGAAAACCAAAAACAGGCCACTGTTGTTCCTCTTACTCAGAGCAGTAAGCTTTTATGTAGATTCTGAGCCTCGGGACTGAGTTTCACTGCAGTGTTGTAATCCGGTGCCTCTCATTCTCACATTCTGAATGAATGATCTTCAAAGCAGCCCTGTCTTTTGTCAATGAGAACTGAAATGCTGATGTGGGGTTGTGTGGAACAAGGGCATAAATGCATTCATGGAGGGCAGTAGGTCTCAGCGGGGAAGCAGCCATGGTCTTCTAGTCCACTGCTCTCAGTATCTGTTCATTCATTAGCTTCCTGACTTCCTCATTAATATTTGCTGAGATTCTGCTATGGGGCAGGCTCTGGGGAAGGTCTTGGCAATATAACTATGAGTAAAATACATAGTTTCTGGCATTTCCATAAGAAAATACTGCCTCCTACTGTCATGGGGTTATGTTTGTTACTTCTTTTCTGTCATAAGAGAACTGCATCATTTCTGTCCAATACTCCACATTAAGTTAACTGCTCATAGTTATTCTAGCAACTTGAACACAGAGTTTTTTTCGCATAGTCGATTTTTTCCATTTATGTAATATTGACCATATTACATAATAGATCTCTGATTCTATTTTCATTCATGAGCTTAGGGAATTAGTATGCTTTTCTTCTTGACGATCTGAAATAACCCCAGCCCTGATCTACATTACCTGGTACTGGTGTCCCCAGCTGTGGACTGGAGTTTATTGTTTACCATTTTGGGTAGGCCCAACCCTATAAGGTCAAGAACTTACCTTCCTCCACTGCCACTGTTTGTTCTGAGGCTGGCGACGGTGGTGGGGAAGGAGGCAGATGAGCTGTTTCTTCAGCTGCTACAGGTCAAAAATGGAGAAATGAGACAGAACAATTAAGTCTCTCAGCCCAGTGCTCCTCCAATCTGCAATCAGACTCCTGTGAACTCTCACCTTTTACCTGATTTACCTGGTGACAACTTAGAAGATTAACATTCCCTATGTTTAAAAATAATTTTCTCCATAAAAATGAGTTAGAAACAAATGAAAAATTCTGTTGTACTTGTAAATAAAAAAAATCCAAATTGAATTTGTAAAGTTAATGTATTTCGTTTAGCACTGAAATACTATATTCAAACACATCCAGGCAAGCATTTTGTTTGGGATTAGAATTGTCTAATTAAAAATAACAAACATTTGAGTGCTCTGTTAGGTCTAGAAACAGAACTTGATCATTTATAGTCACATTGCTTGATAAACATTTTAAACAACACTTCACCTCCACTTTAAGGTTAAAGCTCCTTTATCTTTCTTTCACTTTGAGAAAGGAAAAGAAAAAGTGGCAGAACCTATGGTAAGCATCAGATCATCTCTACCCACCTACTGTGAGCTGGGTCACCTCCTGGCTTTGGTATCACAGTGAATTCGTATGTTGGGAAAGAGTCTGAACCATCTCTGAGGTCCTCCTGGACACTTACCTTCCTTATGATCTTCCTATGCAGGGAAGGAACTTCAAAGGAAATAGTTCTTAATTACTGCCAGTGACTGAATCTATTTCATAGATTATGTGAACTGAAGTTTCATAATACACAATACCTTAGAGGTGGCTTCATGACAACAAGTGTGTAGTTCCCCGCCTCTTTGGGATTTGTGCCTTATAATTTTAAGATTTCAAAAAATTTAAAACCTGAATTTTATTTCAAAGAAACAAAAAATGGGAGTGAAGGACAGATTAAAGGTCAATGTTTTAAATTAGGTGTATTTTCCATTTCCGTTCATAAGAAAGTTCGTCCTTGACAATCAAAACACTCAGAATGGCACACATTGACTACATTCTAAACTCTTAATCTAGGAAAGGAAAATATTCTTATTCTTTTTGTTTAGTATACATTTCAAGGACTCTTAATCAGGAAAACAAATATTAAGGATCCGTTTAACTATAAAATATGAAAATGTTTTTAGGATTTAGAAGTCATTTGGAAGATTGGGTGTATGTATGTATGAAATAAATACACTGAATCCTAGAAAGTCTCCTTCCATTTATATATATATATGTATATATATATATATGTCTATCTGCTTCTCTACCTATCTGTGATGTATCCATTCTCTATCTGTCTATAATTTGTATATCTATGTATCAGTCTATCCACTTATCTATGCATGTATCATTTAGCTAAGTATGTATCAACCATCTATGTATCTATAATTTATCTTTTTATCTATTACCCATCTATCATTTATGTATCTATGCATTTATGTATCAACATACATATCTATATTTAAGTGCTGGATCAATCTATCTCTCTGTGCAGGGCAGCAAGCCTTTGGCTAAGTGCCAAAGTGATTATGTATTGCATGCCTCTGTGGCACTGAAGGACATTTATGACCATGGGAAAGGGCAAGGTGATTGAAGTGCCATTAGATGAGCTATGTGATCAATTGTCAAATCACAAGATCAGTCTTTCCTATGTGATTCAAGTGATTGATGATTCTAACAAAGCTCTAGCTACCAGTTTTGTGTAGTTCAACCCATAAGGAGAGATAGTCACTGCTAATTGAAGTTTCAGTTCACTTTCTTCATGTGCATGGACTCATAGCACCCTGACTTAATAAACAGAAAGAGGGGGTCACCATGTGTAACCACAAGATTGTTACCCTAAAGCCTGTCAAAACACCCCAGTGAACCAACTGAGGGGGTCAAAACAGGTCCTCCTGCTTCTAGTAGAGGTGATGGATGAATTCCATATATGAAATATGTACAAGCTAGATATATCTGTTGAACATGTAGACTTTACATTGTGACAAGAGGCAGCAAATGCTTGCCCTGACTTAGTCTCTCTTATTTACCTAAAGGCAGCGCTGCAGGCTGGTCTTTGTGCTGGGCTTCCTTCTCTTGTTCACCTTTCAGGACTGCGACAGCTTCAGCCGTGACTACTTGAACTATCCTTGCAGACACCTCCTCTGCAAATAAACAATAACAAAAGAACATAAAATGACTGGAAGTCCAACCAAGGAGCTTCAAGAATTGATCAGCAGTATTTAAGAAGAATAATTTTACGATTTGGGAATTCTCAGGTACATTAATTGTTCAATGCAAATCTAATATTTAAAACTTATCAGTTGAGAATGCTTCTTTTAGTATTCCAGTATTTTATGGAAAATTGGGAGTAAAGAGAGGTAGTAGTACAGGCACAGTAGACATTGGGACAACATGAACCTTGTCTTCTAGATCATTCTTGAATCTTCTTTTTAGCACTGATGTAACATTTATTATCCTCCAGTGGCATTTAGCATACCCCACAGGGAAGTCTGCTGAGAGACACATGACTACTTACTTAATAAACACACACAGTCCTGCATGATTTCTTTTGACAAGGACACAAGTATTGATGCCTTACTCTCCAAGCTTTTTTTCTAGACTAAATACTTAATACAATTAGATTTTTTTCTTTTTGCCCTTTCTTTCTTTCTTTTTTTTTTTTGTGAAAGGGTAGGAAAGGGTAGAAAATGAACACAAATGGTTTTGGTTGTGTCTTTTACACAAATTAGAAATAATTCATATTCATACTATACTTGACAAATCTAATAATGCACAATTCATACACTCTGTAAGAATTTTACATGTTTTAGAAGAGTATCATGCAAACCAGAGTCCTAAGTACTTCAGTAGTAATTAACTTTATATAGTGTACAACTTTGTTTTTATGAATTAACACTCTTTTTATTGAGAAAATAATAATAAAAAGCATAATTATCATCAGCATATGTGACAAAATTATAACTGAGCATTGCTACAATATTTCAGTTTTTTGTGTTGGTATAAACCTAGAATTATTTTAATTGTTCATAACATAATAAAATTTGATACATACAGAGTGGATTCATACAAAATAAGCAAAATAACATTCAGGGCATTTTATAAATAGGTTTTTATAACAGTCAGAGTAGAGATAAATGAGGAGAGAATTGAAGGCATGTCTCTGGTCCATAGTCACATTCACCCTACACAAAAACTCACTGAATACACACATTATCAGGTTTCACTGGTAAGAAGTGATTTAGTTTCTGTTTATTCTGGAAGGCAAATCATACGAAATTTGAATGTTTTTATTTTTGTTTGAGAGAAAACTAGTTTAGAAATGTACTTTTGGTTTCCAGTTGAACATAATTTATAAAGGAGGTGATGATTTTTGTACATGTGTAAGGATAACAATCAAAAATTAATTTTAACAGGATCTTGGAAGTCATGGTAAACTTTTGTATCAGGAGCTGGAGATGTAGTTCAGTGATATAGTGTTTGCCTCACATGCATAAGACCTTGGGTTCAACTCTCAGCACCCATTTTTGACTTAAAAATTTCTATTTTAAGAATAATGTGATAGTATATGAGAAAGTCAATTTCATGTTGGTTTAACTAATGTCTTCTAGTTGTTTGGAATAATAATATTAAATCTTTTCAAACAGAAAACAATATGCCTTCTATTTAAAATTTCAGTGTAATTGGAGATACATGACCATGAACAGGAGCTCTGGGGGTTTCATTTGGTCCAGTGAATTTACAATCTTCCTCGAAAGAGTCAAATGAATTTATCAACAGGATATCAATGGTAGCTTTCCCTGAGGAGTAAGAGATGACTGTTTTCCCCAGCAGAAATGTAATCAGAGCTCTCCTGGGTGGATTCTGTATCCCTACTGCCTGCCTCATGAGACAGAAACAAATTCACTCAGGGTTTGTGTAAGTTCATGGATAATTAAGAATAAATGTACCAAAGAAACACAATGGCCAAGTACGGCAGTCATAAAATCAAACTAATAAAAATTATAAAGACTATAACTCTTGTCTTATATATGCTAATTATTTTTGTATATTTAATCATGCATGATATTTCATTCATTTCCCCCTCCCCCTACACACATATCTTCCATTCATCTATCTATCCATCTACCTACCCACCTATCCACTCATCCACCATCCATCCATCACATTTTTAGCTATTAGGGGGGTAACTATCCTTTAGGGTTAGTTATTGAGGAACTATTAAGGTCTTTAGTTCAGAGGAATATGAGTTTGTACTGAAGAATTTCCACCCTCTGGTTATTTTATTCTATCAAATTCATGGAAACTATTGTGCTTCTAAGTTTCACTCACAAAATGGAACAAGTGATAGCATTTGATGCATGGGATGAAGTGGGAATCTCAGCTAGGTAATTACAAAACACATGATAGACAGTACATCAAGAATTTTAAATGAAAGGAAGATGTCCAGATGGTTCTTACCACTTCAATAACTCACTAACAGCCTTGGCAGTGTATTCTGAGGGACCAGTCCCACCAGGCTGGCATTATTATGTTGTGACTATAATGATGGTCAGAAACATTTTTAAAAAGATTTTTAAATTTAAATTAGAAAGAAGCTTGCTTCACATGCCAATTTCAGCTCCCTCTCCCTCCCCTCCTCCCCACCCTCCTGTCCCCCAACCCCCACTCCGTTCCCCTTGGATCTTCAGAGTTGTCATTTCATTCAGGGCAGGGCCTAGGTCCTCCCCTCCAAGAGTCCAAGCTGAGAGAGCATCCTTCATTGCGGGATGAGCACCTAAAGTCCATGTGTATGCCAAGGATAAATACTGATCTATTACCTAAGGCCCCATCGATTAGCTAGGCATCCTCACTGACACCCACATTCAGGGTGTCTGAATCAGTTCCATGCTGGCCTCCCAGTCATTAGTCTGGGGTCCAAGAGCTCCCAAAGAAGTGTTTTAAAGTGTTGAAGGTAGAAAACACTATCTTTCTTTTTTTTTTAATTTTCTGGTCTCAAACCTTACTGCATAAATCCTGGGGTCCCATCAACTTGGGATTCCTATCATCAAGTCCCAACTCTGGGCTGCTGTCTAGATGGAACTCTAAAGAACCTGATGATGTTAATACTCCCTAGGATAATTGGGAAATCTCCTACTAGAGGCAAGAGAGTAAAAGACATTTAATTTTTTCATTGCTTATTTTCTCCACCTTCTCTTTTTCTTTTCCAATCCTGTTGAGAGGATTAAAGATAATATATTATACATAAATTTCATAATTATCAATCATACACAATTAAAAGGTAATATTGACTTTTACAGTAGAAAGTATAATACTGCTTATTGCAAGTAGCTATTTTGAAAACCACAATTTGTCTTGTGATCTTCAAAACTTTTGTGGAAACAAGGTTATTTAGTGTATGGTATAAATTACGTTAGTCAAGGAACATGTATGATATTTCTGTTTTCTCTTTGGTGAATGTTAGGATTTCAGCTGATTAACAACAGCTTAGCATTGGGGAAGTCATTATAGCTGACTGGTGTTGGAATGTTAAAACTGTGAGTCTTTTTATCATTAATGTCAACATGACAATGAATTTCTTCATGTAATGAAAATAACTTGGCTGTAAAGTTAGGTCATGGCTAAGAGAAGTTTGTAAGGAAAACTAGTATCTCAAAAAAGGTAACTCAAGTAGATCTGATTACAAACTGTCTTAGAAGGAAATATTAAAGGTAACTTTTCCTAATCTTATTAATCTCATAGCTTTTTACAAAGTTGTAAAGTTGTTGATTATTGGATAGTAATGAGAATAAGTGACATAAAGATATAGTACAAGGGACATATAGGGACTGGTAATGCATCACCACTTAGGGAAACATTTGGAATACCTACATTCTTCAGTGCTAGGCACTGGTTACCAGACACTGTATCAAGCTTTTGTTCCTCATAACAAGTGTCTAAATTAACATGGCATCACTGTTCTACCATACAGCATACCATTCACACTACACCAGCGCTAGGACCTTTTAGTTCTCAGTCTTCATCATCGCAGAATCTTAAAGGCAGGATCTGTGTGCAGTACGAAGGCAGGATCTGTGTGCAGTACGTCTTCATAATGTAACAGTAACCTACCAAAACCCAGTGAATTAATAAAATTGATGGAATTGAGAATCTTTCAACAGCTCTGAAAATTCTAAGCTGTGTCTTGAGTGAAGATGTAACATTGTTGGTAGACCCTATAATTGTTGAATGTTTATTCTGTAGATTCGGATCAGGACCAGCTGTGCCTCCTTGAACATGCAATGGGTCACCAGTTAGACTATGAACACAAAATCCAAGCAAATCGGCATATGCCTGGCTGGACACATATTTTGCTTGATTTCTTGCAGCTTGTTAAAAGTGAACCAAGATGCATTGACAATAAATTCAACCATATGGCTATAAAAACCACTGAATGTTTCTGCTTTGAAGCCTCGTGGGTACAATAATGGTGTGTTAAAAGAAATGACAAATCAGTCTACCGTACACTTGGTGAAAAAGGAAAACAAAACAATTTAAGACAGAATGCTCCTGTCAAGGTTTTTCTCAGTAGGGTACAAAATGGTTGCCTAGGAAACCAATGTTAATTGCTGCTGCTGCTGGAATCTAGTCAACAAGGAAAGCACTGTGTAGATCGAAGTGCTCCACTAAACAAACACCCTCCATAAATTCATAAAGAGGGGGGGAAAAAGGGAAAATTTCCTAATAGCTTCTATGAAAGCATTTCCTTGAATCAGCCGGTAGTGAAAGCGTTTAAAGAGCAGATTGTTGGGGGGGGTTGTTTGCATGTTTCCCTGGCATCTTTGCATTAATAAAGGAAGCCAGCATTGGTATACCCCACCTTTTGGATCACAACACACACCATCACAACTGGCAACGTGTCATCTACACATCTTTGTCTTTGGTAAGCAGCCCTTTCTCTTGAGTATTTCTTCTAAAGATGTACTGATCAAAGCATGGCTCCACGTCATTCAAAGGGGCAAATGCATTGTAGGCAGAGTCAATTTGTGAAGACAGACATTTAAGAAAATAAATCACAGGTGTACGGAGTTCTGCCTTTTTTCTTTTTCCAGGAAGGAATTTATTTTGTGTCTGTTTTAGACAACGTAAGAATGCTTTGCCATTCCTGGGAGACACAAAGATGTGGCACCCAGGCACACAATTGTTTTTGAATTACAAAGTAATCTTATAGAAGGACACATTTTTCTTCTTTCTTCTTTTCCACTGGTGGCCACAGATTTTTTGACTGATTCTTTTATGGCCACTCATAAAAACCTCTATTTTGATAGGTATGTCCAAACCAGTAGGGATTATTTTTATAGGAAGAGTCACTTTCACTTTTCAAAAAATATTTTTGAATTATGTGTATGAAAACTTTCATGTATGTGTGTATTTCTATGTTTGGATATATGTAAGTGATGGCAGATATCCATGGATGCTAGAGGTGTTGGATTTCCTAGAGCTGGAGTTACAGTCAGTTGTGAGCCTTCTGATAGATGCTGGAACCTGAACTCATGTCCTGTGTAACAACAGCACACACTGCACTCTTAACTGCTGAGTCATTGCTGTATCCCTCCCACTCTCTTTTGTTCCTACCTCAATTTATATGTTTAAATCCATAATCTTACCTAGATTATACCTTGGCATACTCAAATGAATTCTTTTCTTTTTGATCTTTTTTTCTTTCAAGACAGGTTTCTCTGTGTAACAGTCCTGGCTGTACTGGAACTCTGTAGGCCTTGAAATCACTGAGATTCTTCTGCCTCTGCCTCCCGAACGCTGGGATTAAAGGCATGTGCTGCCACCACACAACTCAAAGGAATTCTTTAGCGATTTTGCTGGAATGCCCCGATTTTCAAATTTGGTTAAGGAGAAATGTGTAGCAAACTAAGATAAACAGCAGGGAGAGAAGACTACAACATAAGGATGTTAAAGTATTAAGTCAAAAGTAATTAGACAAACATAGATCAGAGACAGCACTTACTGAGAAATTTTATTTCTAAATTTAGTGTCCCAGATGGAAATAGAGGGGAAAATATTTAAGTAAAAGATACACAGTAAAGTGAATATGGTCCCAATCTGGCTTTGTTCTTACACTTTCTAGTTTAAGCTTTGGGGGCAATTTCTAGTAATACATATACATATACATATACATATGTATATACATATACATATACTTATGCTGCTTGCTGATAATATAATAGAAATGAGATAATTAAGTCAAGTATACTACTTCATTAATCTAAATTAATTGGGTAAATATAAATTTAATGAAGAATTTACTTTCTGAAAATTTCAAACAGCTTTAATCCCAACAAATTAAATATCATTTTTGGCATTGGGGGATTGGTAACACCAAATGAGGGATTAAAATGTTATATGTTATATCTTACTAAAATATCACTATTCTTTGAAGTCTTTTGACACCTTGTAGTGTCTTCTCTGTTACGTCTTGAAACATACTATATTGTCAAATGATTAAAAGTAGCTGCATTTTGTGTTGTAACCTTAATCTTTTGTTTTCTACGGAAATAAGGACTTAGAAGAATTAGGCAAGAAGTGGCCTGAGGGCCATATCTAATGTGCTTTATAATCCTGTGTCAACATAGTTCTCTGTTTTTTTTTTTTGAGGAAAAGGTCAATTTTCACAGCCCATTAGTGTGTGTCCATAGGGGCTATATCAAACAAATAAAGAAGGGACTGGGGGGGAAAGAGGATAAGCTAGTTTTTTAATATCACCATGTGTGTTGTCTTTCAGATAAAGCACCATGAACAGCAACTGTAGTCTAGTGGGATTCATTTTTCAGTACTGGGGATTAAGTCCAGGGTCTTGCACATCCAGGCAGTGAGACTACACTGAGCTACATTCCCATCCCCATTCCAGTCTTTTCAGTGTTTCAATCTTTGCTTTAAAAGATGATAATAGCCAATAGCCATTTTGCTTTTAAAAGGAAGTTGACCAGTTTGGGCAATCAAATAAAACACACTCCAAAGAGAAAACATTATTCAACCAATTCTTGACCTTCTGTGTTGCTCACAAAGGAAACAGGTATTTATAGCTCAGCCTATTATCTAAAAAGAAAAGAAAATGATTCATCACAGGAAGCCCCCTGTAAACAACAAGACAAAATAAGTACATCTAATTGAAAAAGAAAAAAAAAACCTCATATTTTCCTAGGATGGGGATGTAGCCTCCAATAGAGGGTTTGCTTATAAGAAAAAGGCCCTGGGCTCAATGCTCAGCTCTGTCTATAAGCCAAACTTACTTTTTCTATAGTCAATATATAATTTTCCTATTTCAATATAAAATCATTGTTTACTATCTAAACCCTTGCCATTCGCAAGTCATTTCATAGATTTAGAGATGAAACAGGGAAAGTGGGACATCAATCACAGTCTGCGCAGACAACTTTTCAAATTAGAGTATTATCTTTTCAAGTCAGTATCACTGTACTACTACTCTGAATGAGTATAATTAAGCTTGTGATGGATTATATGCAATATGCTTCAAGGCTCAGGCTGTTCTTTAATCACGATCGAGACTTGCTGTGTTCTTGACCCAGAAGAGCAAAGCAATCTTTACCTCACAACGAGAGGATCAAAAAGAACATGTATGTCTGTGTCCCCATCTCAAGCTGGTTTGGAGGCATTTTTCAATCCAGGCCAATGGTTACACTGGGCTCAATTTTGAAGGATGAAAATAGAGAATTACTGGACATCTGTGTGATTCTTATCAGTTAGATTTTTGTGTCTCTCAGAAGTTTATTGTTTTTTTAAATTTCCAATTTAGCTGCTGTTAAGCAAAAGTCTCTGATTAAATATGCTACATATTTTGATTATTTCCATCCCTCCAACTCTCATCCCTGATACTAGAGAAAGTCACTCTGGTAACATTTCCTCACAGAAGTGTTATAGAGATCCTTATAAATTACTTTATATTGTAACTAACAGTTCTCTCAATGTTACAATGAATCCATGTCTCAAAGATTCTCAATTTATTTTTCATTCCTGGTATTTTGTTCTGATTCAGCCTTTCTCACAAATGCACAATTTTGTCTATGTGATTTCTACTCTTAACTCTGTACATGGATTCTTAATCTCTTTCTGTATTAATGGAAAATACTTATTAGCATCCACTCCAAGAAATAGAGTGATATATGTCAAAGGAAGAGAGAAAAGCAAAGTACCAGTTCAAAGCATCTACAGTCTTGGAATAAAACTGGTTAAGAAATAACCTCAGTAGATGGACAGCTGAAGGATGCTCTTAGCAACACATAACCATACTTCCTACAGGTGTTCAGGAAAGCCTGACCAGAAAGGAGTTCACAGCAGTTCTTTGCCTTTGCTGGTAGACTTCTGAGAAGCCTTCTCAAATGTTCCCCCATTATGTCATACAATATTGCTCTAGACTGAAACCATCACGGATTGTCTTGGTACCATGTAACTGTGATACAAAAAGAAATGTTTTAGTTCATTCAGGGGACTGATCATTCGGGCTGGAGAAGCTCAAAAGGAAAGGTGGTACTCAGTTATCAGCACAGCCCTGATCTGTACTTCCAGTATAGACTCCAATCTAACGTTCAGGATGTTCAACTATAGATGATTTGTCCTCGAATTTTGATTCTTCCTACATTATCTACCTAAGCACAATGCTTTGTTAAGTTTTGAGTATTCTTGCAATACATTTTAAAAACAGACATCTTACTTTCATATTTGTATCCTGGCAAACACCTAGCATTTGCATAGCTGTTTAAAGCTGAAGGAGAGCCCAAGACATATGCCTTTTTTTCCTCTCTGTTCACCAGCTTGGCTAGGTTAAATTGTATTTTTTATGACTGTAGCTGAACAGTGTGACTCATTTGCTGAGAGTTGCTGCATGGTGAGCTGGTAGCATGTGGTTCAGTCTTTTCTCCCGGGACTCACAACGCCTGGTCAGATAAGACTGAAAGTACCAGGGCTGTAAAGCAGCACCAGTTGTTCTATTCATCTGCTCTGGATATGAATTTCCATACTCCCTTGAGAGCAGGTGCAAATGCTCTGTGTAGCATGCTAAGGAGCAACGAAGCATGAAGGTACCGGGAGGAAGGGAGACGGGCTCTACACACCAAAGCAGGAAATTGGCAAAAGAGGGAGTGTTGACTGAGAAGCATTCCCCATCCGCTCAGTAACCTTCCAACTGCAACAAAAGCAAACTAAAAGCCCCGATACTTGTTATTCAGTGCCAAATACTTTGGATAAAAACTAACAATATTGTCAAAGTATCTATGTATTTATGGATGTATGGATATGCAAATGTTTTAAATATATTACTATACAATTCAAGTAACACATTATTGCTTAATAATTCATAAATTCTCAAGATACTTGGAAAAATTGTTATTAAAAATTACTACCACATTTCTTTATCTCCCAATCCCTTCATCCCTCTCTTTCTTTCTCCTTTTTATTTGTGAGGAAAGAATACTTAACAAATAGAGGGAACACCAAAAGGTCCTCTATAATATTAACCAAGTAAAAGGCTTACCAAAGTCTAGAAATGAATCTCGGAAGTCACTTACATTAATTATTATTTCCCATATTCATTTTAAATGAAAAAATATTCTATGAATTGCTGAGATTTTTTCTCTAAATTGAGATTTTTTAAGACATCAGAGATCGGAAAGCAATGAGAGAAATCACAATGATAAAATAGAACAGCAAATTAGAAAGGAGAAAACGGTAAGATTTAAAAAATACAGACTAGGGTAAAGTTTGAAAAATATGAAATATAATTAAATTATACTTATATTTAATTCAATATATATGTGTGTATGTATATATGTATGTGTACACATGTATGGTGTGTGTATGTGTATGTATATGTGTGTATGTGTGTGAATTTGTATGTGTGTGAATGTGTGTGTGTGTGTAGGTGTATGTGTGTGTATGTAGAGCTTTGCTCATTACAACTCAAAAGTCTGTAGGCATTTAAAATTTCAAGAAAGAAAATAATACTTCAATTTGTTGAGTCATTGGGTTTAATCTAAGCTGTTTTGAGAAACCGATTTTTCTAATATTTTGATTCAGAATTACGGCTTAAGACAATGCCATCCCACTCTGACTGAGAAGCAAAAATGATGGGTCAACCACCATGCGACTGTATATTTAGATAAGAAACTTTATTCAGCACGCATCCTCTCCTCTATTTTGTAAAGCATAGAAAGCTCTAGCTGGGATTACCGGGTATATATAAGCCCATTCCTCCCCAGGAGCAGTCATCATTCTTTATCACACCGTCAGATCCGTGTAAACTGGACCTTATAGGCTTAGACCCAGTCAGCATCAATACAACAAGCCACATAGTATGACAGAAACGAACACCCACACCCACTTCATCTGCTAGAGACCACACAGTACAAAGCAAACAACAGATACAAATCTCGTGGAACTGCCTTAATTAAAAAAACCCATTTCTCTCATTCTTTCTAGACCAGATGTCTAACCTTCACGAGGAAAACACTGAAAAGATCCCCATCTTCTGGTCTCATCCACCGGTGCTGCCAGGCCAGACGCTTTGCAGTAAGGCTGTGTTTTTCTGCAGATCCACCCTTGAATGCTAAGTAACTGCTCTCTGCACACGCCTCTCTCTGCGGAGCTCAGGGAAATGGCAGCCAGAGCAATGAGTGGTTGGCATGGCAACAACAAGAAGAAAATCTGCAACCTTTTGTATTGTTAGGCCTACTTGTTTATTTGCCTCAGGGGCTGATGCGGATAGCTTTAGTCATTTTGCTGGAGAAATGGCACTGAACTATTTTCCTCTGCGTACATTAATGCAGTATATGCAATAGGTTGTATTTTAAAGGGGGCCTCGATTTTGAAATGGAGGTAGGGAGGATAGAGGACGGCAGCAAAAATCAGGTTTCACCTTTCTAAGGTTGGAAAAGGGGGAATAGAGACTTTTGAATGAGTGATGCCAACCTTGGCCCCCATCACCCCATCATGTGCTTTCCAGCTTCAATCTGTAATGTCTGCAACAATAAATGTATGTGTCTGTGTCTACCTGTCATGGGCTGCTTGAGTTATGGGGATATTAAAATGTAGAGAAGGCTATAGTATCTCCTGGGTAGGAGGCAGATCTAGAAATATAGACATACAAGGCGGGGGGTGGGGGGGAGGCATTGTAGGGAATGGTTGGGAGTAAGGTAAAGAAATGTCCTTCAATTTTTACCCCAAATGACAACCAAAAAAAGAACCACTTCATCCCAGGACTTGTTCTGTCCTTTTAGTGTTCTAAGCATCATGCCCCAGGCCAGTTTAATTCACCAAAGTCTGTTTTTGAACATGTGCATATTTTGACGTCTATAAATATCTTTTCTTCTCTGCCTCCTTTCTTTCTCCACTTAGGAGGACACTGAGAATCATGCTATGATTTTATGTCATGCTCCAGGAGTGTGAATGTGAGTTCTGTAACAGAAATGTGCACTTTGCCTGCCATGGATGACTGCCTAAGAGGGCTATCTCCAACAAGACAAGAAGCCTGGACCCAATAGCAAATGCTCTCAGGGGATGACTACACTTGAGGAGGGTTGGATGTGAAAACTCATCCTCAAGATTCCTCCCAAATAACTGTTGTATTATTTGAAACAACTGCAAGGCAATGTCCAAGTTCCATTCATGTTTTCCAATAAAGGACAAGTGCTGATATTTACAAATTAATTCTGAGAGCCAAGAAAAATGACTCTAAAGAAATCTTGAAAGCATTGACAGTCAGATGTCTGCTTAGAAGGTCAATAAATAATAAAGTATATATAAAATTTACATGTCTTTTCTTGGGGAATGGATAATTCCAAATGAAACCAAGTTGCATGTGGCTCTGGCCTTTGGGTTCTCTAAACGCGCATCTCTGAGTAACTCTTTTAACCAATCTGTGCCCTAATTTTCTCATTTGAAAATCAAAACACTAATGACATATCTCTGTGGCTATCCCAAAATGATAGAATGTGATCAAAGCCATGATTGTGTACAAATTGAAGAGCCATTTGAAAGCCTGTGATGCTATACAAATTTCCAAGCTGTGGTTTTAAGTAAGGAGTTGTCCTTGTGTGTCCTTGAGTGGGATGATGGCTGAAGGATCCCTGTAACATCCAATGCTGGGGTACAAGTCCTTACATAAAATGCCATGTTTGCATAAAGCCTCAGCTACCCTCCTATATGCTTTAAATCATCTCCAAATTGTGTCTATTACTGGATACAGTGTATTAATTCTGTTAATAATTGATATACCACATTGTGTAAGGGACAGTGATTAGCAGGAAAACACACTGTTGGCCTGTCCAACTACCATTTCTTTCAAATTCATTTAATTCACAGTTGATTCTATCCATGAATGTCAATAAGGATAAGGAGAACAGGCTCCAGTTTTTTCAAGCAATGTTTGAGGAATGAAAAGGATTCTATCTTTTCTATCTCGGGATAATGATGTTTAAAGCAAGGTGAGGAATGCAGAATTAATACTTTTCAGGTTTTCAGTCAGAAAACATTATATTGAAATGAGTTTATAATTAGACTTTGTAATGGTAAGACTTTATGCCATAGATATCAGGACACCAAGCGAAGTGACAACCAATTACATTGCCAAGTCATGAGCACACTGACTATGGAAACTGTCTTCACATCTTAAAACATCATTGGAAAGGTAACTTTGAAAACTTCCACTTCCTATGCTCTGATTCAAGTTTTACAGATTTTTAGTTACAAGATTTATAAATTTTGTAGATATAAATCAATCCTTCTGTCTTTTTGCAAGTAACCTTGTGCTATTTCAATATGAATTCTGATATAATTTTGAGCCTTTCTCCTGGATAAGAAACAACTTATAGATGAGGTATCTAATTGGCACTCATTCAGAACTCCATGGGGGTCAAAGTGTATTTCTCTTGCTTTCTTCAATAAAGTGCAAAAGAAATGAATGGATTTTTATAAGCTACCTTTTTGCTTCTCAATTATGCTTTGGAAAACAATTTAAAAAGAAAAAAACTACCCTTTGGTTAGGCAGCTTTGATTCTGAATAGCTTCACGTGTTTTTCCATGTTCCTATATGCTCTTTTAAAAAGGACAGAGAAATTAAACATGAAAATTAGAGTTGCAAAAATAATTCCACCCATCTTTCTATGGGCTTCCATTTATGTTATATGGCAGGGGACAACATCTAGACAAGTGTAAAGAGGTGAAATTAAAATATTATTCCTTTTATAAAATCTTGCTCTACAATACTGGCTTTAGTGCATAAGAACAAAATTAAGTTAACCATGGATGCTCATCTTTAAAAAGTCTCAAAGCCCATACATGAAAATGAATATTCAAATGATGCACTAGAGAGAAGGTAGGATACTAGGCTGAAGGAGGCCCAGTCGTAGGAAAGCTAATGCTTCCATTCTTGACCATGGAATTCTGTTTATACTGAGGACTACAAAGAAGCTCAGGGAAAAGACTTCTGGAAACCACGAGACAACCATAGCCGAGAAGAAAGCAGAAGAAACATTTTTTAGTCAACTAGGAATTTCCTGGCCACTACAGGCATAGCTGAGGAACTCCTTCCCCTGAGGAGGGCTTTATGTGAACACTTTTGTTTTGAAGATTTTATTTTATGGGAGAAATGTGACATACTTCTGTACTGTAGGTGAGCAACAACAAGAAAAAAGAACTATCTCTTTGGTCCTACTTGAAGTGCTCACCTCCAAACATAATGCCAATTCCCATGAGGCCACCATTCAAAGCAAAGTGCCATATTTGAGATTAAAGAGGATTTGTTTATACAGGTGATGGTTTACAACAGGTTTTAAGGAATTTCTCTATAAATCATCAGTGACATCAGTTAACATTTTATTAAACTTGTTTGGAAAGAAGCTGATTGCATACTAACTTATCACTGGAGCATTCTTTTTTTTTTTTTTTTTTTTTTTTTTTTTTTTGGTTTTACGAGACAGGGTTTCTCTGTTTTGGAGGCTGTCGGTCCAGCCTGGCCTCGAACTCACAGAGATCTGCCTGCCTCTGCCTCCCGAGTGCTGGGATTAAAGGCATGCGCCACCACCGGCCGGCCTGGAGCATTCTTTTAAGTATGAGGAAACCAAGCTTTACATTCTTCTCTTCCTACAGCTTTCCACACTTACATTTCTTAGGAGGTTCAATAATTGGTCTGTTAATTTTAGAAGGAAGTTAGTTTAAAGATCATATCATACTTTAGATCAAAAACATCACTATGGCAACCCACAGATAATGATGTTCCACCTCAGTCACCGTGAATGTACATATGAATGCTTAGAAATCAAAATTTCCAGAATAACACAAAACTCATTTAATACATGTTGAAAGACTTCCACAATAAATACTGGATGTTCCTGACACCATCACTCAAAAGAAATACCTGTGAGTCTGGTTTAATTTATATTATCTTCTCAAGAAAGCTGGCAAGGACACACTGACCTGACAGATTTTTCTGATGCTGTTAAATACTTCATTAAGATCACTGAATAAGTAGGATATTAAATGATACAAGTTGTCTATGGCTTGAATGAACATACTGTAAACAGTGATTTTTTTTTCCTACAGTGCATTGTATTGCTCCATGGTAGTCAATAAAGGGTTATATACTGAGTATCCAAGAGATGAAGCTAGCCAGGCATGTTGGCTCATACTTGTAATTCTACACTTAAGGTGAGGTAAGGGGATAACCTTGACTTTAAGGTGAGTCTGTTCTGTATAGTGAGTTCAAGGCCAGCCTGGGCTACATAATGGTACCCTTCTAAAAAATAAAAACAAACACAAACCAACAGCAGTGCAACAACAAAGCCTCTAAAATCAGGGGACGGGAGTATAGTTTTAAACTAACTCGAGAAAGACTGCCTTTGTGTTTGCCTAGTCACTCGGTCTCTGGCCTGGTAGTGAACACTGCATCTGTAAAGCCAGGGCCCCTTTGCTCCTTTCCTTCCTTCCAACCATGACGCTGTAGCTGGTCCTCATCCCCTTATGCCTCAGACCTATTAGAGTCCCTTCAGTGGGGAGTCCCACCCTCAGCAAGTTCCACTGTACTCAGCTAGAGATAAAAGTCCTTGTTCAAGAGTGTCACCACCACTGCCACCCACAATGGTGACAAATAACAGATACCATGTCTTTGAGCACTAGCTTTAAACACTTTACAATATTTTATAATCCTCACAAACCATGAAAGGCAAGCCTATTTTTGTTTAATTTTCAGTTATAGTGTCTTATTAATTAGATTTATGACTCCTTGGAGCTCTACACGGCTTCTCAATTTCCCGGTTCAGTAAAGAGACTGCCGTTTTCTTTTCCCATTCTTGTGGGATTCTGCAAGGCTTTCCTAGAATTCCCAGAGGCTTTGTGTTAGAACAACTGCAGAAGATCCACCTCAGTGAAGAAAATGCACAATCTTTTTCGTTGTTTGTTTTGTTTTTGTTTTTTGATACAGGATTTCTCTGTGTAACAGTCCTGGCTGTCCTGGAACTCACTTTGTAAGCCAGGTTGGCCTCAAACTCACAGAGATCTGCCTGCCTCTGCCTCCTATGTGCTGGAATTATAGGTGTGTGCCACCACTGCCTGGCTAAGACACACAATCTTTAGGAGAGAGACAGAGTGTGCCAAGGGTGAAACAGAACCACCACAAGCTAATGGCTTCTGCAGTGTTTGACAGACTGAGTTACCCTATACTTCAAAGAATTTTCATATCCCTGTGAATTTATTTGGTACCTCATTTGGGGAAATTTCCCCTGAGTAAAAATAATCCTTTTTAAACGTTCTCTTTCCATACTTCTCATTTGGCACTTCCACGTGATTTGTATCCAAATTAATTTATATAGGGGTCATATGCTGTGAGACCTCAGATCTGCGGAGTCTGGGCACCTGATTTTGTTTGGAAGATAATACCATACTTAGTGTGTAGAAAAATACACAATTAAACTCTTGTTTGAAAACATATACTGCGTATTTTAAATTTCTTCTGTCATTTAAAATGTCTTCAGTATTGCCTTATTAAAATCAGACATGCATATATACACACATATACAAATACACATACACACATATAATTTGTACCAAGAACATTGTGCACGATAAGTATGTCTTCTAACACTAAGTATACCCCCCATACCATAAATGTATGCTGTTTTGACCAGAATGTATAGTGGATACACATCACAGTTTAGTTGACAGGGTACAGAAACTGATCTTCAAATAAGTAAGAGATGCCTTTGAAGGGGATAATGCTTTATTGTACTACTTGTAGTTTGTTCAGATATTTGAAGAAGTAAGCTGCTGTCTGTAAGTTCAAATACATAAATTCTGAATTACTGAAAAAGGGGAAAAGAATGCTATATTGTAAGGGGATGTTTCTTCTCATTATTCCTTTATACTTATGGGGCCATTTAGGATAGAATCCATTAGAGTACTTTAAAAGTAAGTGTGTAAGAACTAGTTACACTGGGGCTGGAGGGGTGGCTCAGTAGTTTAGAACACTTGGTTGCTCTTCCAGATGACCCAAGTTTTATTATCAAAACCACATGGTGGCTCACAACCGTCTGTAATTCCAGGCCTAGGGGATCCAATGCTCTCTTCTGGCCTCTATGGGCTCTGCCTGCATGTGATACACAAACATATATGCAGGCAGAATACCCATAGACATAAAATAAAAAAGAGATTAAAAATAAAACAAAATCAGTTATATTATATTGTTCTTTATGACTCAGGGTATTGAATTTTAGAAAGCTGAGAAACAGTGAAAGGGTCCCTATATTTGAACATGCATGCTCGTCTCCCTTCTTTCCTGTCTCCTTGGAAGGATGATGAGGTGGTTTTCACAGTTCTTTCTACCCTAAAAAGAAATATGCTTCTAATCAATCTGTTGGACTTAGTCAGTCCAAAGTTACTTAAGGTAATAAGGAAATAATGGTATTTTTTCCCAGTGGGTTAAGATACTGACAGTTTATAGCAAGGCATGCATACACTGAGTATTTTGCCTATCAAAATTAGGGTAGTAAAAATTAAGGTGACAAACAAGATCAAGGCTACAAACTAATCAGGGGAAGAAGTCAGGCTAACTGCCACGGTGCTTGGTGCCGTGGCTTCCTAGGGCATCAATTTCTCCTGATTGGACTCTAGTCCTTGAAGAGTGAAGGGACCAGCTGCTGCAAATTAATTCAGAGTAACCCGCCTACAAAGGACAAAGCAGTTCTTTCTGCCCTCAGTTACCTGCTGTTTCTCTGTCAGCCGAGGTCAGCTCTCCGTTGATCCCGTTCTCTTTGGTATCTGAATAGGTGCCCTGTGACCCATGCTCCCCGAAGGCGCCCTCCTCCTCCTCTCGGTATGGAAATCCGTTGGCACTGCGGCTCAGCCCTTCACCTGCCCCGCCTTGGTCCTTCATCTCTGGAGGGTGAGGGTGTGCAGCTGCCTCTGTCAGCGGGGCTGACGTCCAGTGTGGCGCCTTTCCATCGTCTTTCCGCTCATCAGCCATCCTTCGGAGCTTTGTACTGTTTCCTGAAGGCAGAAAGTGTGTGTGTTAGCTATCACTTTGGAGCTATACTGGTAGCAAAATGGGGGGAAATTTGAGGCCAAATCAGTGGCTTGCTTTATCGATAACCATTCATTAAAAACAGTAACAGATATTATCGATACAATAGTTTTTACATTTACATTATTTTTGCAGAGCATTTCTGGAATGTCCCGTGAAATCATATATATTCTTTAAACAAACAAACACAAAAAACACAACCGTGTCTCAGGACACATCTTAACCTATGTCTTTGATATACAGTCTAAATATTGACTCATTAGTAAGAATTGTGCACTGGGGAAATTTGTAGTGTGAGAAAAAGGCAAGAAGAGAAATGGCTGGAGGAAATAGTCAATTATCAGACAACACTCAACTACCCCTTAAAAATTCAACTCACAAGAGAACCTAGAAGAGAAAATGGCCAACACTTTCATTCCAGCAGTATTCATGTCAAGTCAATTAGATATTCTCTTCTGAGTACTGTGTTGTAATGAAATGAAAGTTACTGACTAAATTTTCCAACAAACATTTCTTAACCTTACGCATAACTGAAAAGGGGTGGATATTTTTCTACAAGCACAAATGTTGTGGGGGAAAAACATGAGAACAATAGTGTTAGAACCATATTCTGCTTAATGACATCATTCCACTCCTAAGTCAAGTATGATCTGGAAATGTTACAGTGTTGACGTGAGTAAGGAAGCTGGGAATTACAGCACAGGGTAGACTCACTGTGGAGGAGGCATCTTCTTAACCTTCAGTGAATGGCAGATACTCTATGACCTTCTCTTACAGGCGATGCTACTAAGTTTAGAGATGTAACTGACAGGATGATTCAGCCCTCAGTTTGGAAAGCTGTTGCCAGTGATGTAGTCTTATTGATGGCTTATTCCCCTCACAGAATGGATGACAACATACAGAATGATTCTCTCTAGTTGAAACCAAGAGCAATTTTTTAAAAAATAGAGTAGCCAGAATGAAGACTTCGAAACAAACAAAGACTGTATTAGGGAGACTCTACTTCTTTCTCCTAGCTGTTTAGAGACCCCACATATAAACTAAGCTGTTATGGAAGTGAGCTTATATACTAGATTTTTGTTTCTGAATGCATATTTGCTTATTATTTGTGTGTGCATGTATGTGCATGCATGTGCCAGGGTGTTCATGTGTATGTCAGAGGACAACTTTATGAAATCAGCTAGCCCCGCCTTCTACTGTAATGTGAGTCCCAGGGACTGAATTCAAGTCATCAAGCAGACTCCGCTGGCTAACAAGCACTTTTACCTGCTGAGCCAACTCGCTAGCCCTGCTTCTGAAATCAACGCCGTTCTTTGCTCCTTATGTTGTTTACACATATCAAAACGAAGGAGACAAGTCCGTTCATGTAAACGAAGTATAGAGTGCCTCCAAATTTGTTTCTAAAAGTATTTGGTTTATCTTCCATAAAACCATATTTAAACAACATACACAGAGCTTAGCTTTAAAAACATGGATTGAAGGACTCATAAACAAACAGGGAGTATATACATCATCTACAATGTACAAAGAACTTCATGTGCCAAAGGGTTTTTTCCAACAATTCCTGGTTTGACGGATTACAAAATTAAAGCAAGTAATTCAAAGGAAAAATTAGTAGTTAAGTTTGTTACAGTTATAATTATCCCACCACTTACTGCACCACCAGTCATTACATGTAGTCATTTTAGGTGGTTTTTCTATAACTTCTAGTGAAATGACAGGAACTTGGAAACTTGGTCAAGTACATGAATTAGAGTTACTTGTAAACCTGCCTGAGCTATTACTAACTAAGAACTGAATAAGCACCACACCAGAAATGGAACCTGATGGGAAGAACATACCCTCAGGACTAACTTCCCTATATGTACATACCTAAGTATATCCATTTTATACAGGTGACCCAGCAATATTCTGCCCCCATCTGATTCCAGTCAAATATCAAATTGCCTGATATAAGAATGTAAACACTGTGCTTTTTAAATTGTTATGGTATCTTCATACATCTTAGACATGAAGTGAATTATCCAGAGTCAAATAGCCACCTTCTGGATACAGAGCTGCCTTCCATAGCATCTGAATATCCATGCACCTCGATGTCTTTCACTATTCCTAATCAAAATATCTAAACTCTTCTTTGGCTCAAATCTGTGTGTGTGTGTGTGTGTGTGTGTGTATGCGCGTGCACATGTGTATGCGTGCATGTGTGTTCACATGTGTGTATGAGAGTGTGTGTGAGAGAGAGAGAAAGAGACAGAGAGAGAGAGAGAGAGAGAGAGAGAGAGAGAGAGAGAGAGAGAGAGAGAGAGAGAGAGAGAGAGAAGAATAAATAGTGAATACAGGAAAACATAACATAAAGAAGTCTGGGTTTTGCTAATGTATGTTTTTGAAAAACGAATAGGCTTTGTGTTTCATATTACTTATAAAACTGTAGAAAAATCAAATAGATAGTATAAACTTTCAACCAATTAACTGTTTAAAATTTTTCCAATTCTGAACATCTTTCACTAATATGACACATTATAGGTAATAAAACAACATTAATACATTATTAGCTAGAATTTACAGTGTAGATTACCCAGTATTATTTTTGTTTGTCTGTTTTAGGGTTCTTCCTAAGATACTATACTATGTTTAATTTTCATCTCTAGGTTCCTTTAAGACTTTGACATCCTGGGTTGAGGATATCATACAATCAATGTTTAAAAATGCCTGATTTTGTTTTAATGATTAGTTTGGTTTATATGTTTATGAAGGACAGAACAGTGGTGTTCAACTAGGTGGAGGAGCTAGTTCACACATATGTGCACACTTCCAGCCTTCTCAGAGTTCCTTCCTGTGCTCTTGGATATTTCCATTTCAGGAAGAATTGGTGATGCAAAATTTCACAAAACAACAGTCAGTGGCTGTTTCCTGATAGCCTATGAATTAGCATATCCAAGAAGAGCTGGGAAAGACGTAAGTCTGTAGTATATGTTCAACTCTGGGAGTTATAAGATTTTGTCTTTTAGAAATGAAGTTTAATTTAGAAACAAAGGGACATTGAGCTATGTATATGCATTTGTCTCAGTACGGGTGTGCATACATTAAGTGCGGTGGCTACAGAGTCCAGAAGAGGGCATCAGATCTTTTAGAACTGGGATTAGAGATGGTTGTGAGCTACACAGTGTGGATGCTGAGAACCAATCATAGGTTCCCTGTAAAAGCACTATACACTTTTGTTCTTTAAAAGCAAAAGAAAATAAAACAAAACAACAAACAAAAGACAACAAAAATTCCAAGCAACAGCAAAATTCATCAATAGTTCCAGCATATGTGGGAGTTCTCGATAGTCAAAAGCAATACAACGGAATGATAATTACTCAAAACTCTCAGCTAAATATAACTATTCCTCATCTCTAATTCTCTGGACTCTCTGGAACAAATTTCTCAGCGAACAAAATGTTCTCACATGTAACTAACAGACCAATATCTAAATAGACAGCACGCTTGTCAGTGATCATCAAGTATATGACTCATATCATTTGTTTTTAAGAAACTAAACATTTACAGTATAACTTTCGGAGTGTTTAATGCCTTAAAATTTTGGACCTTTTAAAAATTAATTAAAAAATGATTTTGGAAGAAGGGCTACCTAAGCACACGAATTTCATTTAATACCACAATCACAACTAAATTCAAGTCCTTGCCTACAAATTATTACCCAACTGCAAGAGAAATTGCAGGTTACTCAGACATCAATTCCTAAGTTTGAAATGTATGTACTCTAACCGTCTATTAAGTGTCAGTCCTCATTATTCTGACAAAACTACTGTGACAGGAAGCATGATTGGAAAAGGGTGTTGCTGCTTTGAGGGCAAAAGCTTGCTGCATCAAAGATGACACTATTTGATCATGCTCATTTGTATTCAAAACTGACTATTAAAATCGGATGATGCATTTTACTTAAATTCTAATGGAAGTTTTGGGGTCACATTTGTACTTGCTTCAAGTTCCCAAGAGGGTAGACTTGTGATGGCTAGCTTTGACTTTTAACGACACAGTTGGAAAGATGGGACTTCAGTTGGGGAATTGTCTCATAAAACCAACCTGGAGGCACGTTTGTGGGACATCTTCTTGAATACTAATTGATGCAGAAGGGTCAAATTAACAGTGGGTATTGCTACCCTGGGGCAGGTGAACCTGTACTGTGTTAAGTGGGGTATGGAGCAATGAGGGTGAAGCAAGCCAGTGAGCACCATTCCTCCATGTTTTCTCCTTCAATTTGCCCGTGCCTCCCGGTTTTGGCATTTGCTTTCCTTGATGATGGGCTATAAGCTGTAAGATGAAATAAACACTTTCTCCCCCACCCCCAACTGGGGCTTGAACAGTTTGTGGTACTGCTGGCAGTGAAACTAGTTATTTATCCCTAGTGCACGAACAGGTTTTTTGGAGCCCATTCCCTAAGAAGGGTTACTTTCTCAGCCTAGATACAGGGGGGAGGGCCTTGGTCCTGCCCCAAATGATGTGGCAGACTTTAATGATCCCCATGGGAGGGGTAACCCTCTGTGAAGAGTGGGTGGGGGTGGGATGGAAAGATGGTGGGGGCAGATGGGAGGATGGAAGAGAGAGGGAATTGGGATTGGTATTTATAATAAGATTGTTTTTAATTTAAATAAAAAATAATAAAACACTTTCCTCTCCAAGTTGCTTTTGTCCAATGTATTATCACAGTAAGAAAAATCAAACTAGGGTAGCAAATAAATGGCTTGATGAAAAAAACTAAATACTATAGAAAAACTCAATTCATAACTTAAAGTCCAGTGTATTCCAATTTTCAATTATTTAGACTTTTTAAAAATATAATATGTATATTATGGGTTAATATAGCTTAATGTAGCTTATGGGTTAATATAGTTAATGTAGCTTATGGGTTAGTCTGCCCATTATAAGTGCTGCTGTCACTTAACAATGTTTAAAAATATTAAGA